GATTTTGCAATTTGGGCTGCTGCTGCATCATTATCTCACCTCCAGCAAAATTAGTAAATCTAATCAAACTGTTTTACTTCAGGTGGAGAGTAGCTGTCCAGTAAATACTGAACACACAGATTATTTATTGGGATAATTTTATTCATGCTTTTTCTCAAAAAAGAACACTACTATGCAGACAATAAAACAAGCAAATTTATATAAATGAAATTTAAAAATAATAGGAAGTTTCAAGTGAGATACTTTAGATTACAGGGACACAGAAATTGCTGAGGAGGTGATATTGATAAAGTGAAACATCAATGATACAAAAGAGAGAGCTACACAAAGATATTACTATTTTAGACAGAAGGAACAGCAAGTCCCCAAAACAAGAATGGACCTGGATGTTTAAAGAAATGCCAATCAAAACCACAATGAAATACCACCCCACACCTATTAGAATGGCTGCTATAACAAGACAAGAGCTAACAAGTGTTGGGGAGGAGGTGGAGGAAAAGAAACCCTCATACACTGCTGGAGGGAATGTACATTGGCACAACCACTACGGAAAACAGTACGAAAGTTCCTAAAAAATTTAAGAATAGAGCTACCATATGACCCAGAAGTCTATTTTCTGGGTATCTACCCCCCAAAATTGAAAACACTGTTTACAAAGATATATGTACCCCTAATGTTCTCTGCAGCATATTCACAATAGCCAAGCTATGGAAACAATCTAAGTGTCCTTCCATCGATGAATGGAAGAAGACATAGTACATATATACAACGGAATACTACTCGGCCGTAAAAGATGATGAAATACTGCCATTTGCGACAACATGGGTGGATCTTCAGGGTGTCATGCTAAGTGAAATAACTCAGACAGTAACAGACAAGAACCATATGGTTTCACTGATATGTGGGATATAAAATAAAAAGCAACAAATACACAGATAAACTCACAGACACAGTTCATCCTTTGAACGAACAGACAACAGTATGGTGGTCACCAAAGGGGAAGTGGGCAGGGGGGTTGAAGAGGGTAAAGGGGGTCAAATATATAGACTTCAGGTGGCGAGCACACAATGCAAGATAGAGGATGTATTATAATAGTGTATACCTAAAACTTATATAATGTTTTTAACCAATGTTACCCCGATACATTTAATTTTTAAAAAGAATCGAGCCCTGGCCGGTTTGGCTCAGCGGTTAGAGCGTCGGCCTGCGGTCCCGAGAGACCCGGGTTCGGTTCCCGCTAAGGGCACGTACCTCGGTTGCAGATTGTCGCTGGCCCTGGTTGGTCGTGCGGGTGGCAGCCACTCGATGTGTCCCTTCACATCGATGTTCCTCTCTCTCTCTCTTCCTCTCTCTCCCTCCCACTCTATCTGAACAAAAAATGTCCTCGGGTGAGGATAAAAAAAAATATATATATAAAAAGAATCGAAAGGTCGGTATTACTGACATTTGATGGGTGTCGGGGAAAATGAGAGGTAGCGGGGCACATCAGGAACACAGCAGGGACTCCCGCAGACGCCCGTCCACTGCCTCTTTTCCATGAAGTGGGTTCCCGGCCAGGGCGCTGTCCAATGTGTGACAAAGCAGAAGGCATTCTAAGCCCATGAATGTTGGTGTTGGCCACGGTATCATAGGCAAGGAAAACAGATCTAAATTCAGAAGAACACCCATCTCCATGAAAACAAGTCCAGCTTTCCCCTCCAGCGGAGGGATGACATGGGCTTGCATCCCGAGGCTGCCGCAGCAGATGCTCAACGCTGTGCCCCCCGGAAGCCGGCCCTGAGACAAACCTGTGCTCGGGGATGACCCTGTAGCACCTGGCTGCTTTGTTCTAAACCTCTGTGCGTTCTCGGTCCAGTCCTCAAGGTTCATTGCGAAGCCCTTCCCCAAACCTTCGACATAGAGCCAGTGACTGGTTACAGAGCCGGACTCAGGTCATGTTTCCTTCCAGGAAAATACAGGATAAAAGGCTCTGCTGGAACCCCTGCCCATTCCTGCTGAAAGCCTGCCCTCTGCTGTCCTTCCCTACGCTGCTGAGAGGGGTGTGGCCCACACAGGGCGCTTCGGCTGGGAGTGCGTCTTGTTCAACACCCATCAACCAGGCTTGACTTTTTTCACTCTCAGCTAATTGGCCGACAACTCTCCACGAAGGCGAAGGGACAGACTGGCAGGGGCAAGGTGTGGGAATCGCGTTGTTAAAAGCACAGAAAGGGAAGAAATCTGCTCACACGAGCTAAGTGCCTTCGTGGCCTGCTCTGGCCCATCGACGAGGCGATGGAGTGTTACTGGAAATGGACGACTTTACGAGCAGGTAGATTAGACAGTACCTTGTGTTCCATGGTCTCCAACATACCAGTAGCAAATCAGAGCTGCTTCTGAAAAGGAAAATAGTCATCTTCCTGAAGGGGTTCATGGCCCTGCTCCCCAATCCTGGGGGCTTCCATTGTGATTTTTCTGGGGGACTGATTTCTTCCTTCAGTGTCTCCCAGATACTTTGAGAGGGCTGAGGAGCAGAGCTGCTTGGATGGCAGCCCGGGCCTCCTCTAGAGACCGTTTTGCACTGACAGCTTCTCAGGTCACCTAGCAAATAAGTAAGTGCAAAACACTTGTGTGCTGCGTGCTCTCTACCACAAGGTGCTGTGCTTTCCTTAGTCGTGAAACAGGCAAGATGCAGCATCATCCTTCCACTGGAGGGGCCATCTCAACGCACGGGACCACTGCGTCCCTGGGCACATTGCCAAGCAGTCAAATGCCTGTACTTCCATGAGATTCCGTTCATCCTTTGAACGAGTCTTACCAAGGCATTAGTGTATCTGCCATGTCCTGCTCTGTGTCAACAATGTGCTAATGTGACATCCTAGGGTTTGGTGATGCATTAAATGTCCTCGTGTAGCAAATGGCTGGAGTTGACATCTGTGGGACAGATCTGTAAAGCTATTTCTGTCCCTGCCAGGGGAAAACAAACTGCTAGTGGACTCTGCAAACTACAATGGATAAAAATGCAGTGGTTAGACCAATAGTTACGTATCAAATGCCCGAGGCTGTACTAAGCTGCTCCAATAGAGACCACTTGGAGAACAGCAGCTGTAATTTGGATCGCCTCAAGATTCAGTGTTAATGGGGAGTCCACTGTCATTCTCCAAGACCCATCAATCTTTCCCACTGGTCAAACGGAAGTACACCAACACTTGGGGACATAACAGATTACCACGTTTGTCTTTCTGCCCTTTGATGGTTGTACTAGTTCCTGTAATTGCTCCCAAAGCCTTACTGCTTTCTTGCTTATTGTTTTGGTAGGAAAAGAATGCTGCAATGGCTCCCCCTCGGTTCTTCTGCCACAGGAGCACTTGCTCCTCAGGTCAGGGGGCCAATGCTGAGATTCCGCCAAGAATGTGCATCCTAGCTACACTTAGGAACTGAGGAAATGAACCAGGGGTGCGAGCTCAGTGTGCCAGGGCTTACAGTCTCCCTCCCGTGACCTCTATGCTGACCAGGGGCCGCAGGCTTCTCAATCCCCACAAAGTTCATGCTTAGATCAAGTATCCACTGATCCCTAAAAACTTTGGATATTTCTCGTTTCCAAGTACATATCACCTAAAGAAGTAGCTATTGTTATAGCGCGGCTTGATTAAATCAAGGGTTTTGGTCCTGAGAATGAACTCGGGTCTGGGAATTGAGAAGCAGCAACCTTCTAGCTTGATTCAAGTGTCTGTTACCTAGACCTATCGAGTTGGCTTTAAAAAGAAAATCATGCCTGTTGCCTTCATGCCTGATTGTGCGAGTACCTAACCACAGTAAAAGACTGTGCAGATCAGACATTTCCTAATCGCTACCTTTCCACCTTCTCCCATGAACACACCCATTTTTCTCCTAACAGGTGAACCTCCAACATGCCTGACCCCGAAAGACCCGCAAGCCAGGACAGAACTTCTCAGTGCTCACAGGTTTCCCTTGCCAATCTATTCCGAATGGCATTGGAAAGTGATGTTTCCGGCCCCGGCAGAGAAATTACTGAAGTGGCAGATGGACAGAGCATATGAAATCTCGATCTAGCACTGGCCAGCTTTTAGTGTTTGGTCCTGCTCTACACTGGTCCATCAGCAAATTGCACAGCTGCCCAAAGTAGCACACGGAATACAGTATCTCCTGAGGGCACCAAATTCAGCTAAGTAAGGGATACTCAGCAGTGAGGCTGCGAGGACACTAGCTCCCTGTGACTGAGAGACTTTCAGAACTAGTCTGATGTGCTTTCTTTAGCTCAGTAGTTCACAATCTCGGTAGTTCAATGCAATGGAATCATCGGGTTGGAACCCTTAGAGATGCTGGTTTAATAGCTTGAGCCTCTGGAGCGTAAATATTGCCCTAGGTGACATTCAAGTGCAATTAAGGACTTTCCAGCTCCTTCCAGATCCTGATCACTTGATTGCTGACGCTGCTGGCTTTCTGTCCCGAACACAGAGGGATATGGCCCTGCCTTTCGTCCTACCAGACACAACCAAGGCCAAAGACCCCTCACTTCCCTGCAGGTCTCTGCCAACAACCCATTTTTGAGAACTAATCTGAATATTAGTTATTTTGTTTGCAAACAAAAAATGGGTGACCCTAGTTAGCTTAAAGAAATAAGAATATACTGGATGGATCCTAGGATGGTTCACACACCCAAATATACTGTGAAAGAACCAAAGCTCAGGGAATAGGAAATCTCTAAAAACCTTCTCCTCAGAACTAGCTGCCATAAAGCTATCCAGCTCTGATCACTCACCTGTCTCTCATTCGAGTTTCACGTTCCCCGAGACAATCCCTGGGCAGCTCAGCTTAAGGTCTTGCCCTGTCAATCAGCTATGGTAGAGAGGCAGGGTCACCAAGCAGACACGACCCCTGGGCAAGGGGAAGCTACGCCAGCAGCCACCCCAACAGAAGTCTACTTCAATTACCCGCGTTTGTAAGCCTCACAACTGAAAAATGACAAATTAAGGGCAAAAAAACCCACACAAAAGACATTGTTTAATCAAATAATTTTAATTACGTTACCAGCAATAAAAGTGCAATTACATGAAAAGTCCATATTTTACACATTTAAATTATTTTTCATTGTCTTCACTTGTAAGGTGTTGAAGGTGGGACCCACTCCTGAATCTTCTTTCTAGTGGTGGAATACGGTACATACTGCTGTGGTGTGCCACTCAGGTTGAATTTATGGTTTGTCCAAATGAATTTACGAGCAGTAGGTGGTTTCACTGTTGGAGGATCATCGGTCATACAGTGAAGCCAACGGTGCCTTGAGGAGGGGAAAGAAAACAGTTACCAAGAGGCAGTGCAGTGTGGTGGGGGGAGGGCGAGAGGGCAGCTCTGGGGCTATTTTGCTGCTTGAGTTCAAATCTTAGCCCCATCACTAACTAGCTGAACTTTTCTATGCCTTCGTTTTTTCATCTGAACATCTATTTCCTAAGGATTGTATATGGATTAAATGAGATAAGACACATAAAGCACCTTGAAAATTTTCTGTGCATAGTAGGTGCTCAACAAACTCCAGCTATTGCTAGTATCCTTATTGTATTTCATCAAATCTAGAACACCACCAACTTTAAGATACACCATTATTTTATGCATCTCTAAGAAAGAAAAATGCTGCCAATTAAATTATGACACTATTGACAGAATATATATCCTAATTTTAGATGTAAAAATATATTATGAGCTTGACGGGCCTCAGCATTACTGAGAGATGCCAGAGCCGGCTCTGGGGCCTCCATGTGCCCAGGCTGCTCCAGCTCAGCAGCTCTCGTCTGACCCCGACGCTGAGGAAGAGGGTCTCTGCGTGAACCTGGAATTCAATCTTAAGCCTGAACACTGGAGAAAATAACATTCGTTACCTTAAAATTATTAAATCACAAACCAAAGTTCACAAGTATATATGCCTTTAGCATTTAACCATTTAATTTCAAAGGGTATTTGCAGGAAGTGCCAGAAATCCGGCCTGAAGAAGGAAATGGAGCTCACAGAAGAATGTCTCTCTAATGACTGAGACAGGGAGAATCAATGGCCAAAGGACAAAGAGTAGAACTGAGCAGAAAGCCACGCTGAGTTTATATGGGAAAGGAAGGAGAGAACTCATCCCACACCCCCCAAGGCTCAGAGCTCACGAGACAGACATGACCCTATGAAAACAGGGAATGAGGACACAGGCATAAATTGCAGCTCCAAGAAAAAAACAAAAAACTGCCCAGCTACAGAGAAAAGGGCAAGAGGAGGAGGTTTCAGTAAAATAGTTAAGACTAAAGCTAATAAGAAAAATATATAATGCTATGTCTGTTCAAGAAGATCTGCTCACAGTAATTGATAACACATAAAATCTGAAAATGTTTTCCCAGGATAAGGCTACTGGGAAGGGTCAGGAGATGAGCAGACAACGTATTCTCATTGTGGCAGTGTAAGCAGCTATCAGAAACAAGAAAATGTTATCTGCTAGGCTAGCATAACCTTTCTGTTACAATTAGTATTAAATAAAGGCTAAGGAAATCACACGTTTTAGATTTCCACACCAAAGAGTTCTGCAAAGCGGGTTTTCAGCCAGGTCACTTTTATTCCTGGCAGTTAAAGACGCAGCAGACCTTGCCCTGGCCGGTTTGGCTCAGCAGTTAGAGCGTCGGCCTGCGGTCCGGAGAGACCCGGGTTCGGTTCCCGCTAAGGGCACGTACCTCGGTTGCAGTGTGTCCCCGGCCCTGGTTGGTCGTGCGGTGGCAGCCACTCGATGTGTCCCTTTCACATCGCTGTTTCCCTCTCTCTCTCTTCCTCTCTCTCCTTCCCACACTGTCTGTACAAAAAATGGAAAAATGTCCTCAGATGAGGATCAAAAAAAAAAAAAAAAAAAAAAAAGACGCAGCAGACCAGCAGCCCTGCCCAGGAGACTGCGCGCAGCCACTTACAGTTTATGTCCCTCATGTTCTTTTTTGTTTTTTATTTTATTTTATTTTATCCTCACCAGAGGACATTTTTCCATTTTTTGTACAGAGTGGGAGGGAGAGAGAGGAAGAGAGAAAGAGGGAAACATCGATGTGAAAGGGACACATCAAGCGGCCGCCACCCGCACGACCAACCAGGGCCGGGGACAAACTGCAACCGAGGTACATGCCCTTAGCGGGAACCGAACCCGGGTCTCTCCGGACCGCGGCGGACACTCTAACTGCTGAGCCAAACTGGCCAGGGCCCTCATGTTCTTTTTTGTTAATCCTCACCCGAGGGTATCTTTCCATTGGTTTTCAGATAGAATGAGAGAAAGGGAAGGAGGGAGGAAGGGAAAGAGAGAGAAATATCAATGTGAGAGAGACACATCCACTGGTTGCCTCCTGCATGACCCCGACCAGAACCGCAACTGAGGTACGTGCTTTTGACCAGAATCGAACGGAGACTCTGGTCCGCGGGCTGATGTTCTAACCAGCCAGGGCAAAATGCAGAATCACGTAGACTATGAATGAGGAGACTGGCAAAAAGGCAAAAAGTTATAAATACCAAAGCGATAAATATTTATAATGAAAATATAATACGTTTTTGGAGAAACTCAGTACTCAAATATACCGAGGTTGTGTCAAAATAACTGGAAACAAAGATATACTAAATCACAACTCAAATGGGAAAAATCCCACAAGTGGTTGACTCTATTTTCAGTATAAGGAAAAGTGTGTCAGGGAACAGGGAAGGAAGACTAGCCCTTTCTTTTTCAAAATATACTACTTTACTTAAATAGCCCCTCAGTTTGGGTGTATTCAAGGTGCAAAATGAAGGGATTTTAAAAATCATGGCAAAAAAAACAGTCTTTAAGATTAGAATTAATAAGAAAAATAAAAAAGTTTTATTTTCCCTTTCAGCTAATTCTCAGAAATAAAACATTACTAAATAACAGTGAACAACAACAACAAAAACATAGGCAGTTTTAAATCTTTCTTCTCCTTGGAAAATGTACATTATTAATTTGGGAATCAAGACAGATTTCTGACCATACTGTTCACGTTTCAGATGATTTCACTCAGCCCAGAAATGCCAAAGATCTTTCAGTTTTTCAAAAAATAAATATGAAAGACTAAAGAAAAACTTGATTGTATTTTGAGGTAAAAATACTCAGCATATGCCCTGGCCGGTTTGGCTCAGCGGTTGGAGCGTTGGCCTGTGGTCTGGAGGGACCCAGGTCCGGTTCCTGCTAAGGGCATGTACCTCGGTTGCAGTTTGTCCCCGGCCCTGGTTGGGTTATGGAGTAGCAGCCACTCGTTGTGTCCCTTTCACATCGATGTTTCCCTCTCTCTTTCCCTCCCAAAAATGGGAAAATGTCCTCGGGTGAGGATTAAAAAAAAAAAGGGAGAAAAGAAAATACTCATCATACTAAAATTCTATTCCTCCATTCCACTTTAGTTTATGACACATTCTCACACATATCACTTACACTTACTTAATGTTCCACATTCTTAAAGTGAGGAAGCAGAATTGAAATGACTTTCACAAGGTCCCACAGCATGTATGTGAGTTACAGAACTGAGGCTTGAACATAGCTTCCCAATGGAACCTGGGACACCAAGAGTTTAAGTAACTTACCCAAGCTGGAGCTAAGATTAAAACCCACCTACCTCTTCAAATAGCCCACTTACATTAAAAACAAAAACAAAAGGATACATACGCATTGAAAAAGAGATCACAAGAATATATATTTAATGTTAACAGTGGTTTGTCTCAGTGCAGTAAAATAACCAATTACTTTTATTTACTTTGTAATTTTCTGAAATGTCTGTAATGGAAACGTACTACTTTACAGAAAGAAAAAAGCTATTAAAAAGAAAAATCCATCCTGGCTGGTTTGGCTCAGTGGCTGGAATGTCAGCCCACAAACTGGGGAATCGCAGGTTCGAGTCCAGTCAAAGGCACGTACCTCAGTTACAGTTCAGTCCCTGGCTCTGGTCGGGGTCATGCAGGAGGCAACCAATCGATGTGTCTCTCTCATGTAGATGTAGATGCCCCCCCCCCCCTTCTATCTGAAGATAAATGGAAAAATATCCTCGGATGAGGATTTAAAATAAAAAAGAAAAATCCTTCTAAATCAAACCAACTAGAGATGGTTTTAAAACCCTGTCCAAGTCATCTGTCATTTTTTTTTTTATACTATAAATAGGTTCTGTCTACTTCTAACCCCATTTCATATCCTCTTAAGCCATCATAAAAAAAAAAAAAAATCACTCTCTAAAGTATTCAAATGTTTTAGCGGCAGACTGTTTCTCCCAGTCCTCCTTAATGAAAATGTTTTTTAAGTCAACTCCACAAGGCAACATCTTTCACATCAGCTACAAAGAAAAGGTTCAAACTTAGCTTTCGTTTGTTTGTTTTATCTAGAAACTTCAAAATTTTTCTACATTTTACTATCTCTAGCAGGTACTACACACTGATAACCTGTGAACAAAATGAAGATTTCTTCTGGAAATTGGAATCAAGAGCAATTCAGTAATAGCCCAGCCAGTGTGGCTCAGTGGTTAAGCGTCAGCCCATGCACCAACAGGTCACCAGTTCAATTCTTGGTTGGGGCACATGCCCAGGTTGTGGGCCAGATCCCAGTGGGGGGCATGCAGGAGGTGGCCGATCAATGTTCTCTCTCACTGATATTTCTCTCTCTCTCCCTTCCTCTCTCTAAAATCAATAAAGAAAAATTATATATATATAATATATATAAAGAGCAGTTCAGTAATACACTGTTTATTTCCACACCCCAGGTATGAAATTTTCCAACAACACATCTTTGTAAAATATTAGATTCAATCTTAAATAAAGCACTGAATAGTGAGTAAAATGTGTTCAATAATAGCTGAATTTAGAAAATCCAAACAATCTTGTTTTCTGCTTATAATTAACACATTTTAGCTGAGAAAAGTTATAAAAGTAAATATTAGGAAGGATCTATTTTTAAAAGAATCTTGCAACCCACTGTACTGAGCAACACTCATTTCAATTCAATTCAAAGAGCATTTCACAGGACATCTACTACTTGGAAATGACTAGATTAAACAAATACACCAAGAGGAAGAAAATTATCCCACCACTGAGAGATGGCTATTTAGGTGAACAATATTTTAAAAGACTAAAACAAATAATTCAGTGGGACAAAGTATTAAAAGGGACAGATGGGCCTGGCTGGTGTGGCTCAGTGGTTGAGTGTCAACCCATGTACCCAGAGGTCGCTGGTTCAGTTCCTGATTGGAGCACATGCCCAGGTTGTGGGCCAGGTCCCCAGTGGGGGTCACGCAGGAGGTGGCCAATAGATGTTCTCTCTCATCAATGTTTCTATCTCTCTCCCTCTTTCTTCCTCTAAAATCAATAAAGAAAAAAATAAACAAAAATAATAATAAATGGGACAGGTGGAAGTCAGAATGAAATTCGGAGGTAAATTTAGCTTTAAATTCATATAAAAGCTACAAAAAGAGTGACAGATATACCATTTTTAGATCAGCTAGAAGTGAAAAAAATTATTGTATCCAAAAAGCAAAATAATGGTTGTTTCAAGTAAAAGAGTATACCCACATTCAGTCAACAAATAATTTATTGAGCAACTGCTATATGCTAGACGCTGTTTTAGGCTTTAGCAACACAACAATGAACACAAGGTCCTATCATCAAGAAGCAAGGTAGTTGGGGAAACAATAAATTAAATAATACCTCATTAAACACTAGGCAGAGACAAGTGCTACCAAGGAAAACACTAGAGCAGTGTAAGGGGACACAGTGTGAGAGCAGAACGGAGCTCTTAAACAGGGTAGTCCGAGAAGCCACCAGCACGGTCACTTGAATCAAGTGAAGGCATGAACCACACAACATCTGAGAAGCAGCGCAAAGTGCCTGAGATGGAAGTGTGTACACTGTTCAAGGAAAAGTGAGAGGCCAATGTGGCCAAATCAAGGGTCAGCAGGGCAGTGAACAGGGCAGTGCACGGAAAGCCTGGCAGGCCGAGATCACGTAAGGTCTTACAGACCACATAAGGAGTTGGGTTTTGATTCTATCATGAAAAGTCAATGATAGTTCTGAGCAGAGATTGGATGTGAGCTGACTTACATTTTTAAATAAACACTCTAATCACTTAGTATGTAAAGAATACTAGAGTTCTGCAGAAACATAATCAGACCAGTTGAGAGGCTGTGGTAGAAGTCCAGGCAAGAGATAACTGTGGCCCTGGCCGGTTTGGCTCAGTGGTTAGAGCGTCGGCCTGTGGTCTGGAGAGACCCGGGTTTGGTTCCCGCTAAGGGCATGTACCTCGGTTGCAGTTTGTCCCCGGCCCTGGTTGGGTCGTGTGGGTGGCGACCACTCGATATGTCCCTTTCACATCGATGTTTCTCTCTCTCTCTGTCCCTCCCACTCTATCTGAACAAAATATCAAAAAATTGTCCTCGGGTGAGGATAAAAAAAAAAAAAAAAAGAGATAACTGTGGCTTGTACCACAGTTATAGTCATAAAGGTAGTGACCCCACTTTTCCCTCCCCTCTTCAAATATCATTTCCTCGAAAAAGTCTTTACTAACCCCAGTATAAAATAGACACCTGACCCTCCCATGCTTTTTATCCCTTTATGAATGCAGCTTCACATTATCTTTCTTATGTTTATTGTTGTCTAAAATACATATTTGTTTTTCTGTCTCCCCCAAGAGAACCAGAACTTTGTTTTATTCACTGTTGTATCCTCTGTGCCTTCCATAGGTCTTTGCACCTGACAGGTATGCAATAAATAAATAGTTGTTTGAATGCATAAAGATGATACATTGTATTTGCTACTCATTACTCTATGTGTAAGATAATACCTAGCTTTCTAATAAATCAGCCCTACTTCAAACTTATTCATGATTCAAACTTATTCAGGGAAGAACCCACAGAGTTAGAATTCCACAATACATGCCATTCAGCAAGAGTCCAAGAAACAAACAGCTGAGCTTGTCCCACATCAGGCTTCCTACAAACTCATCACAGGCCTTTAAACTTCCCTTACAAACAAGGGTTGTCAAAGGTACTCAGCCCCGAGAGAAGGCTCCATCCACTCCAAAAAGAAATCAGCTCTGTATTCTCAGTTACCCTCGGGCACCTGTTGGAGTGATGTCTTCTACAGCTGTCAGCTTCTTTTTCATGTGAAGTCAGGTCGTATGAAAGGGCGTGCTTGGCTGAATAGTGCTTTTATCTTTTCAGGGCTTTTACTACTTTATCATTTTAAATGTGTTTCATCTCACATAATTTAAATCTGTCCCCCTCACCCCCCGACTCTCCCAAAATACAGACCTGAGCACCAATGTTAGATGAGTGCTTTGAAGGAGATAGATCAATATGAACAAGACAGCTCACCTGCCTTCTACATCCTCCCAGGACCAATCCCACTCCAAAACAATCAACCAAACAAATACAAACTGGGACACCTCATTTCCTAACACCAGAATTCCACTTTGAGACCTTGCTCTTAATAGTGCCCCCGACATACAGAATGCCCCTCTGGAGAAGGCAGACAGCTCTACCTCTAAAATCACAGCTCCTCAGAACTCAAAAGAACCATAGGTTATTATTTCCCATTAAAAAGAGCAAAAAACCCAGCCTCAAATGTAGTAGCAGTGCTGCTACTAAGAGCCAATGAGTTTTGTATAAAGACATAATCCAATACCATGGTTTTCAAACCACATCAATGATATGAGTCAATGCTCCTAATTGGTCCAAGTAGACCAGAGGTTGAAAACTGGTTGTAGGTGAACTCTTATAAACATGTTTGCTTAGCTCACACAATATTAAAAAACAAACAAACGACTATTCTGTCTAATCAAATAGCCCACTGAATTTAAATAAAATAAAAAATTCACTTCCTTAGTCACAGTAGCCACATTTCAAAGGGCCACATGTGGTTAGAAGTTCCCCTACTGAACAGAACAAATAGAGAACATTCCATCATGTATTAGATAGTGCTATATTTAAATTGACAAATATTTTAAATTAACATATAAAAAAAATACAAGAAATCTCACAAAATACAGATTTTCACTTTCTCTTGAAAAATCCTATCTGGAAACCCCTGGCCAAATACTCAGTTGATGGAACTGAGGACAGGTAAATAGGGCTGCTGCTGTCTCTGGTGGGATGTGTGCTTTTCAGTTCATTCTATTTCCCACTATTGTCTCCCGTCTCACGATTCACTCACCTGGATTTCTCACTGAGCCTTTACAATGGAAGTGAATACTCTGGGATTATCCCAGCTGCTACTCACTAGAGCAAAAACTATTTCTGATGATCAAGTTCAACTAAAATAAAGTGTCAGATAACCTGATACTTACTTCTAGTTTTTTGGTGAAATTTTCTAGACTAACTGGCAAGGATCACCAGAATTTATCGTATATCAACCAAATGGTATTATTTCAGCAACCTATGGAATAGAGATCAGTACTTTGATTTGAAATAGTCAATATAAAATTTGGTAATTCAAGGAAAAGCATACAGAATTTCATTTCAAAATAGTTATATTATAAAATCATAGTTTTTAGAGATCTAAGGAACTTGGGGGCTCTCATTTTATAGGTGAGAAAACTAAGCCTCAGGGAGGTTAAGAAACTTGCTTATGGTCGAACTGCCAAGTAAGATCAGAGGCAGAATTATTTTTGCCTTTCCCTTCACCCATATCCAGGTGATACTATGGAATATTGTCCACCTCCCCACCCCCCCAAAAAAACAGCCACACTATGTTGTTACACATCCATGAAGAGATAGGGTCTATGTTCTCTCCCATTAAACTTGGGTAGCATTTTCTAATCGCCTTGACCAATGTAAGGCGAAATTGATACTGAATGATTTCTCAGACTAAGTCGGACAAAGCAATATGGTTTCTGCTTGCGCCCCCCACCCCTCTCTCAGAGCACTTGGCTGAGGAAGCCCCACTATGTCTTCAGGTGACAGCCAACATCAACTTCCAGACACTGAGTGCAAGTCTTCAGATGATTCTTCTATCCAGTCTTTGAATCTTCCACTTGAGGTCTGATATCCTGGACCAGAAATAAGCTATCCAGACTGTGTCTTGTCTAAATTCCTGACCCACTAAAACTGTAAAATATATAACTGATACAGATGCTTTCAGAATACCATTGCCTGCCTTATAAATAAGCTATTCAATAAATAGTTGTGTAATAAAACAAACACTGCCAAGCAAAAAAAATAAAATAAATAAAAAAGAATGTTGACTTAGCTTACCATTCAGGGGGCACCATGCTTCCATCCACATCCCAGTATGTGTTTTTGCCATTCATTTCAGTAGTATATATAACCCATCGGTGACGGCCTGAGTGGAAAGATCAACATTTAGAAAGATGTTAGAAAATAAAGACAACCTTAAAAAAAAATCATGATTGCCTAATATCAAAGAAGACAACCTTTTTATTAAGACAAGACTTTTATGTGCTCTTATAAAAGAGACATGTTCGAGAAATAGCACCCTGGGTGTGATAGTGAAGGCAAGCTTCTATCAATAGCCTGGCAGCTGCCACAGCAAAATCCCTGCAGAGAGACTAAGACCTACTCTGTGGGTGGGGTCCTTTTCCACAGTGAACCCTTGTTTCCACCCATGTCAAGAAAGCAGTACAGGGAGTAAGGGAATATGTTCCCAGCCGGTCAAAGTATTTAGGAGAAAGTGCTCCTCTTGAGAATGAGGCAGAAGACATGTACTCACAGCAATCACACTTGAATTAGATGTTTCCATATAAGTATTTTTTAATGACCACCAGAAATTGATTATACATAATAAGCAAACTATATACATGATGGTTAGATAAGTAGGACAGTTCATGTCATCAAAATAATATGACTACATTCTTTAACACATTTCTATGGAGTAGTTGGAGGCCTAACCACAATTTACAAGACTGTTTCTATTGGGTCCTTAAGAAGGGCAAAGATCTGGATTCCAATCAAGTATTTGTCTCTTACTACCAGTGAATATTAGGCAAATTTTATGAGCCTCAGTCAGTTTCTTTGTCTATTGAAAGTAGATGACTATACCTACATCTTGAGGTTGACATGAAAATTAAATATCACACACATACACCTACTTCAACATCAGACATGTAAGTGCATAATAAGTATTAATTCCTTCTACCACTTCCTCACTGCAATACCCGACACACAGGGAATATGAATTCATCTCTATAATAGATTTTAAACCAATAAAAGCAAAGGTAATCTGCATTTACTTTATAGAGTTTTCCTCCGTAAACATATCATCAACAAATATCAACTAATGCAATTTAAACATGACCATATCCTATTAAAGAAATACAGATTTCAATTGAGACTTGCTTCTTCTATTACAGAGATCAATCTTGAGAATAAGTAACTAAAAGTAAACTATAACCCAATGTGGCAGGGGAACATGATGGCAAATGGAGGAAACCTCAGGTAAGGTTTCACAGAGTTAGGCCATGATGATAAAGCTGGGCCTTGACAATCTCCCAATAAATATATCAAAATTTTAATTATGTACACTTAGACTCAGCAATCCCAATTCCATAAATTTATTCTTAGAATATTTAAACAAGTAATTACAAGCAAGTTCACAAACCATTGTTTTTAGTAAAAAAAAATAGTTGAAGGCAATCTAACTGTCTATCAATAGTAAATTATTTGAGAGAATAATGGTTCTTTCATACAGTAGAATATTGTGTTACTACTAAAAAGAATGCTGTGAAAAAAAATTTTAATTAAAAAAAACACAAATATCCAAACAAAAAAGAATGCTGTAGATACATCCAACTAATTAATATGAAAAAGGTTCCCATGGTATTTATGTAAAAACATTTCCATTTATTAACATAATCCCGTGAAATAAAAATACATATATATGTATGTTTATACATTCATTACAGAAGCTCAAGTCTAAAGCTCACTCCTGTTATTCATATCACATAATACTGCACTCACCAAAAAACTGCTTGTTGTCTTCATAGTATTTGTTTCCATATTTGTCTTCCCCAACTAATGTACCAACCCTCACATCATTTGCCCTGTGAATATCCAAAAGAAATCAGATATTTTAGAATGAATTCTTTGCTCAAAACACAAATGTAAATAAAGTGAGAATACCAATGTTAAGAAACAAAGGCTGCTACATCAATTAGAAAAACGAGGAGATGCCTGGGGATGGTCACTGTTTGTGGACTTCCAGCCTTCATTCCCAGGCCCACACCACCCGCTGTTGAAGAATCAGCTTTCCGGTAGAGCTCTAGAGTACCTGCTCATATTGCCCCCAGTACCATGTAGACAGCACAAGAAAAGATAAACTACCCAACTGACACACTTAATCTACACTAAATATATGGATGCAATCACAAGACTATTTTAATGTACGATCAAGAGGCACTGGAGTTAGCAAACACCTTCAGGAAACCAGGAAGCCAAAGTATTCCATCTTAAAATGATACGAAGGTCCGAGCTTTCATTCGATTGTGGGTCTCCAATTGGCTTCCAGGAACGATGCCGCTAGTCGGATTCAACGGAAGTCAGGACTAGTAGAGACCATGACGATCACCTTGTTCAACGCCTTACAGAAGATAAAACTAAGGCCAAATAAGGGGCTAAAAAAACGCTCCCAAGGTCACACAGTGAGTGGCAGTGTTCAGTACTCTCCGGGAAGCAGGGCAGCGATGCAGCCCTGACGCCCTCGCCTCCACGTCACAGCTCCGTCTCTAGAGCTGGCTTTGGTGCTGTGTCTGGGAGACCCCTGGGAAGGGGTTTCGGCGGGGGAAGGAAGGCGGAGATTAGGCCGGTTGTCCTTGACCAGAGCTGCGGCTTCTCCAAGGTGACCCAAGCCCGCGCCCCATTCCAACAACCCAGCCAGCGCAAGTCTAACCCAGAGGCCAGGGGCCTGGCTCTGGCCGCCTACCTGAAGAGCATTCGTAGATAGCCCCGGAGGCCGCCGTGGCCGCTGACCTGCTGCAGTCCGCGCTTCAGGACCTGCAGGTACTCCATCTTGTCCTGCAGGCCCCGCCTTCCGGGTGCGCCGTTAAAAAGGCCCCCGGAGGAAGCGAGCACTCAGCTGCGGGGAGCCTACCACACAAGGGTCCCACTCGTGCGCATGCGCAGAGCTGAAGCTCCGCAGGCGCGGCCACTTCCCTATTTCTGGAGGGTTTCCTTAGGTTTCCTTGGGACGCAAAGGTGCAGTGAACTTTTACCAGTTCTCAGGAGTTGCATTTAGAAGGAGGCATGTGGTGGAAAAGTCACCTAGACTAGACTTCCCCAGTTGGAGTTTCCTTCTTTGGGGACCCCTGTTTCCTCATTGCAAATGATTGCCTCAGACTACTTCAAAATCCTTTCTTTCAGGATTCTTTAGAAACAAAATACCACTAAGAAATTCAGTATTGAGCACATAATGATAATGAGTACATGTACTAGCGTTGTGTAGGAATAGCGAGAATAGAAATGTACTGTATATGATTAAGCACCTGCTCTCAAGGATTTGGTGATTTAGTTGCAAGGTTAAAATTCAAAATTAAAGTATTAAAAATTATTAGGAAAGTAATAATATATATGTATGCATACATATATATATATATATGCATAGGTGTGTGTGTGTGGGTATACTGTCACACAGGAACAGAGCAACAGTTCTGTTCCTAAACAGAAGCCCCTAAATCTGTTCCCCCTCACCCAGAACTGCCAGGAATGGGACAGGAGCTCAGAGTCTGATCAGGTGGCCTCCCAGGTCCTCAGAAGCCAGTGCCCCCAGCTCCCTTGCTTGAGGGTGCTGTAAACCTGCTCCAGCACGTGACCCAGATCCTGGTCCCTGGGCATCCTGCTGGCCAGGGAGATCTTCAGCTTGTCCAGGTAGAAGCCCTGGAACGTCACCAGGTCAGGGGCACCCTTGCAGAACTCCACTAGCAGCAGCATCTCATGAAGAATGTCATTAGTCAGGAAGCTGTTCTGGATGTAAGCCATCTCCACCTTTGTGCGGATGCCTGTCACTGGGCCTTTGCTGGCAGGGACACCAGCTGGTCACCACCAAACACCTCAAGCCTCCCATCCCATCACATCTTGTCTCACACATCAGACGCCAGGCACAACCCGGGCATGGGCCTTGACCAGTATATTTAAAACTTTAGATATTAAATTAACACTATTTCCAATTTCCTATTTTATTTTAAATATGCTTTAAAACCTATATATTTCTTGACCCATCAATTTCTCTTGATCCTCAACTATGGGATGAGAAATTTAGCACCTTACTTCCTTCACCTCTTCTCATCCTTTGCTCTTCCAGACTCTAGTCAACATAATTTCTTTCAAAATATCAAGGTTTATAAGATTTACACTTATAATCGTAACTGCAAGCTTTCATAATTGTCTATGACTTTAAAACTGAAATACAGTATTTCTTGAAAGGATCAAGTAATATGACTAGATCCAGGGAAAGGATTTAATTTTATGCTATTAAATCTTCAATGCCAAATGGAAAACTTGTAAATATCAGGGTCAAATTTTCTTAGACTCTTCTCAATTGCTCAAAATCATGTTGAATTTGTTTCTGTTGAATTGTGACTTTCATACACTTTTTTGTTTTCCTATTTAAAAAAAAATTCTATGGGAAATATTTCTATATATTTAAGAACTCTTTAAAATGTAAACATATCTGCCCTGGCCAGTTTGGCTCAGCGGTTAAAGCGTCGGCCTGCGGTCCTGAGAGACCCGGGTTCAGTTTCCGCAAGGGTGCGTGCCTCAGTTGCAGTTTGTCCCCGGCTCTGGTCGGTCATGCAGGTGGCAGCCACTCGATGTGTTCCTTTCACATCGATGTTTCTCTCTCTCTCTTCCTCTCTCTCCCTCCCACTCTACCTGAACAAAAAATGGAAAAATGTCCTCCGGTGAGGATAAAAAAAAAAAAAAAAAAAGTAAACATATCATTATTTTATATAATTCCTTAATATTAAATATTCAGAGGGTTCAAATTTCTCTGTCCCATCATACTTTTACCTTTTTTTCCCAACCAATATTGTAACTGGTTGATTTTCATTTAAATTTCTTTCAGTCTATAGGTTTCTCCCACTCTCCAACCCCTGCTTTTTTGTCCTTCTAATTTATTTGATGAAGAAACTGTCTGTTTCTCCTGTACCCCCCCTCCCCCACCCCAGTCTGAATTTTGATTGTGTCCCTGTGTTCTTATATCCCCTGTATTTCCTGTATATTAGTAATTAAGCCTAGGTGCTTGACCAGATTGGTGGGGTTTTGTTATTGTTGTTGTTAAGTATATTTTATAGGTGATGATATTCTTCCATCAATAAGCACACATGGTATCTGCTTGTTTCACTTTCTGTGATTTTAGCAGCTGTTAATGAGCATGGCCTAAGTAATCATTTCTTAACATCCTTAAAGTTATTTTCCTTGAAATTTTTAATTGAGATAGTTATAGAGTCACATGCAGTTGTAAAGTAATACAGAGAGATCCTATCCCATCTATACTTTTCTCAGTTTCTCTTAATGGTATAACATTTTGCAAAACTGTATCATTACAACCAGGGTACTGACATTGATGCAATCCACTGATCTTATTCAGATGTCCCCAGTTTTACTTGTACTCGTGTGTGTGCATGTTTAGTTCCATACAGTTTTATACATGTAAGTTCCTGTATGCCACCAGTCAAGATACTGAACACAGAAACATCTGTAACAAAAATAATAAAAAGAGAAAAGATACTTAACAGTTCTACCACAAGGATCTATTGCTTTTTGACCATACACACTTCTCCCCCTTCTACACCTCTCACCCACCTGTCTTCTTTTCCTTAAACTCTTACTATTAAAATACAAGACTTCCTGATTTGATTCTCTAATGTTACCTTTTCTTATTTTCGATTTCTTTGTCTTTTGTTATACTTTCAAGGTGACTTCAACAACTTTATCTCCCAACCCTTCTAATGAATTGCTTTGGCTATCATTTTTAATTTCCAGGGGCTGGTTTCTTGCTCCAAATTTCCCCGTTCAAAGTACCCTGTTCTCATTTAATGGCTACAACATCTAATTTATTTCAAAATATTAATGAGGGTATTTTTCTGATCCCTGCATTATACCACCCATGTGTAATCTCTTAGGTATTAGAGATTTTCCTCAAATACCTGGTGAACCAGGCTCCATGCTCATATTTAATAGTAGGCACTGTTGAGCTGAGTGGATACACCAAGTATACACACATGACTTGAAAGTTAGTGGGCTTCACGAAAGTGATAAAGTGGCAATCAGGCTTCTTACTTAGGCACAACCAAAAGTGAGTGTCTGGAGATCATTTTTGTGGAGGCAATTAATTTCTCTGAAGAAAAATACCCTAGCATTTTTAAGCCTATACCTTATGGCCAGCATTCTGGGAACACAATTAGGAAGCTCACATTTAGAATGCAGACTTTAACTTAATCCATGTTTTCAACCCTATATATAACCCAAGCCTTCTATCATTCCTGGTATCCTGTAAATCCTATGATCTTCCAGTTAGTTTTTTAAGAGCATTAAACTCTGGCACCCTGCTCAAAAAGGCAGGAAAACATCAAGTGGTCACCTGACTTAAGAAAGTATAGAGAAAGATAGTTCAATGAGTCTGTATACAAACTTGCAATCAATCCTTTCTTTTTTATGTCCCAAGCACCATCTCTGAATATAAGCACCTGGGTCCTCCAGATACTAAGCATCTTTCCTGGATACTACAAGGTATGCTGGCTTCTTTCTCACTGCATTGCCTTTTGCAGACACTCAGATTAGAGCTTCCTTGATTCTGGCTCTGCTAAGTCAGTCTTTCTCTACCTGGACTTCGTTTTCCAAAAATTTATTGAACTCTCTTATCCTTTGATTCCTTCTCTTTTGTTTTTTCATTATGTGGTTACACTTTACTTTCATTTTACTGAGATCTCAGGAGGTAAAAAAAAAAAAAAAAAAATTAATTAATCAATAATCTGTAATAATTACCTAGAAGTATTCAAACTGAATTATAATAATCCTAAAATAATCACTATGGAAATGTTTTCCCTTCCTGGAAGTACTTTAATAAATCTTACTAAAGATTTCTTAACAGTGTAACAAACAAAAGAATAACTACTCAACAAATAGAACTCTGACGTCAAATATACTGTCAGGAAACAGAAATTTGTAATGCAGGTCACATTTTAATATAGTTTAAAAAACACTTCCAAATATAACTACAAATTTAATCAAGAAAAATACCTGCAAAAAACGTGTGTGATTGACCATTAGTACATTATTTCTAAATCCTTGGCTTACTTCTTTGGGTTTATAAACCTACTAATTTTCCCATTTGTGTATTTCATAGTAAATGTAGTTTTTCCTAGTTGATATTAAAAGTAAATCTAGTGACAAAAATCATGTTTTAAATAGGGGGGAAAAAGTTTCCCTTTATAAGTCAGTAAAGATTGTAAGTTGATACTTTAACTTTTGATTTACTATAAAGTAGTAATTAGTAAAATCCAGCCTCCCCCAAAATTCTATTTCAAAAATCTTTGTAAAAGATGTACTCTGAGTACAATGAAATCTCCACATTTGTTGTTGAAAAAAAAAAAAACAATAGACATACCAAAATAATTAATCATGACATCAGAGCAAAGAAATATTTAACAGTATCAGGTTTGCTATGGAAAACATTATTGTGGAAGACATCCAAGGAGTTTAAAATGCTTTTGTTGTAGCAATAACAAGGCTTTAGGCTGATGCTCATACTAAAAAAGCCCTCTCCTCTTTACAGTGAAAAATCAGTATACAGTATATTCCTTTATATATTAAAAAAAATTAAAATTTTAAAACTTATTAATTGCTTTAAAATAATTGTTTCACTCACCTTGAAAACACAAATTCACTATGATAAATCCATTATTTAACAGAGTGTATTTCTAAAAACCTAAAAGAAACTGGCTAATACCCATGGAAGGGTTAGGAAACTAGATAATGCAGATTAGAAAAGAGGGAGAGGACAGATGATTTTTGTGGAATGGAAGAACAACATTTTAAAGATCTATTTTGCAATACTGAAACATTTTGAGCTCAATCACTCTCTACTACTTTTAAAACACTGCAGTAAATAAAAAATATTAAAACATGAACCCTATCTTATTCTCAAAAACAATTTTCTGCTACATACATAAATAAAAAGTGCTTGTAAACTAATAACATATACCACTAAAAAAAGTCATCTCTTAAGATCACAAATGACCTGTCTCATTGCCAGCAATGAGAATGCTATATGCCACAGCTATAATAATATTTACAAAAAATATATATATTCAGTTATTATTTCCTCTGGTTCTAATGTTATCATTATACCATTGAGCATAAAATAATCTTTTGACAGTAATTAAAACGGATATTATAGAAGAATAAAATACAAGGATATCCTCAGAGATTTCTGACAATTAAGTGTTTATACTAGTTCATAATGAAGTTAAACATGAATAGAACACAATTCTGAAAAAAAAAGGACTAATTTATTTGTGTTATCAAATAAAATAAGATATAGTGAGAGATCTTAGCTTAGATAGTTAAAAGGTGACAGCTTTAGGTATCATCTTAACCAAGAATAAATTCATAGTATTTCTTATTCACTTAAATAAGACAGGAAGGGGAATCCTAATTCCTGCTACCTGCCCAGTCACTTTGAAAATGCTTCTTAAGAAAGTAAAAATAAAAATATCCTGGTTTTTGGTTATTCTTTAAAGTCAAAATTTCCAGGTGCCCTGAAAACAACGAGTTCCATTTGGTGTCTTGTGTTCTGAGAAAGAACAATAGTTTGTACTGTGACTTCAAATGCTGTGACCAATTATTTGTGAGTTATAATCTGCAGGTTCCATTTTTAAAATATGTGGGATAACACTGTCAATTCGTACATTGCCAATGAGACCTTTGAAAAACAATTCTTCAGTGATGGTAGCATTCATCAATCTCAAAGCTGGCAATCTGAGTAGTAGTCTGGATAACCTAAAAACAACAAAAGATGGTGGGGGGACAAGGTTATAAATCAAAGAGATATTTACTAGAAAAATATGAGCAATTCCTGCATGTATATTGTTTGTGGCCTATTTAATAAAGATCAAATTTTCAAAAGTTAAAATAGAAACCTTGGTATTCAAGCTTCAGAGTGTATGACAATCAATTAGAAATAAGTACAGTCTGACAGGCTTCATAGTAAAGCCTTACTCTTAAATGCTATGCTATTAAACCATGGTTCAAGCTATATATTTAAGAGTGGCTTAGGAGCTCATTTGAAGTTGTATGAACAGCAATATTTTGTGTTATCAGCGAACACAAGGTTTAATGATAATAGCTTTATAACAAACTACTGGGAATGGTAAAACAGGCAATAGTTGTTATTACTGGGAAAAGCACAGACTATGGAATCAAGACCATTGGATTCAAATTTTGGTTCAGTTGCCCCCCAGCTATGTGAATGTGTGTAAGCCACTTACTTACTCCCCGCCTCTCTCACAATGTTTCTGTGGAAATTAACAAAATGATCTCTGCCAGTTCTGTGCAGTGAGGTTCTTAATGTTTGGCAAGATAATGTCTTGTTGTGAAAATACATTGTACATTGAAAACTGCTATCCAAAGATAATTTATTATTTTTAAGTAACTAGGAATATAAGAAATTCAGAATTCCAGAGATCAAAGCACCCGGAACCTGATGAAACAGAAGTCAGCAACAGCTGTATGTCTAAAGGAGAAAAAATTTAAATACTGTCTTTATTTTATAATGAGGCATAAAACAACTTTAGAAACTTAAAAAAAAAAACAACTAAAAAACAATCATGACAAAACCAACAACAAAAGAACCACCTTTCCAAAATGCGTGTGGTATGTTTATCCTTCCTCTAGTCTAAGGCCTTGCACTCCAACGCTCGAGACCAAATGAAACCAGCAGCCCCAGGATTAAGTGATCTTCCTACAGCCATGTATTCTACTCCTCAAATTACTCAGTTCTTTTTGTTCCCACCAGCTGAGTTGCATCCAGAGAACTGGTAGGAAGTAGGATAAGAAAACTGGTTACATAAACTAAGGCTGATTTTCATGATGGAACTGGCTTATAAATTTATTATTTAAAATGTGTAAGACATTTTATGTTAAATGTTCTTTTACTAGCTTGAAGTATGTTAAATAAATAATAATGGTAAGCCCTTGCCGGTGTGGCTCAATTGGTTGAGCACTGTCCCATGCACCAAGAGGTCACTGGTTCGACTTCTGGTCAGGGCACATGCCTGGTTGCAGGCTCGATCCCCAGTAGGGGGCATGCAGGAGGCAGCTAATCCATGTTTTTTCTCACTGATGTTTTTCTCTCTCCCTTCCTCTCTCTCTAAAATCAATAGAAACATTTAAAAAGTAACAGTAATGTTAGTAAACACATTTATATAGCCCTTGCTATGAAATAGGCACTCTAAGCTCTTTACATATATTAACTGAGTTAATTATCTCCATTTTACGGTAAAAAAACTGAAACAAAGAAGTTAAAATATTTGCCCAATTCATACAGCTAATAAGGTTAAGGTCAGGAGTCAAACCTACATACTCTGGCTCTGATGGCCACATGTTTAACTACGCTAAAACACTGTCCCTCTTCAAAAACTGATCTTATAAATTTTTTTTTTCCAAAGGACACTGGCAAGAAATATGTTGGTAGAAATATCATAAGCCAAATTTCAAAGTTAAATATGAAAGTCTAATGGCCGGTTTTTGTTTTTTTTTTCTCCATTTTCTTCCTTTTACTAATAAAACCCATTATTTTATCTAAAGAAAATAAAGAGTTTGGGCATTATGTCAGACTACCTAGGTTCAGTCAGTCTCTGCTATTTATTATGTGACCTTAGTAAGTTACTTAACCTCTGTGTGTTAAAGTCTATATAAAATATAAGAACTAAATGAAATATTACATGTAAAGCACTTGCAATAATGAACACTGCTTTTAATAGCATTAGCTATTTCAAAGGTTAAAGTTGACTAGAACATTTTAATTACTCTTGGAATAGAAAATAATGGAATAACAGATCCACAAAAATGTTTTTAGATGAATTTAATTAAATAGTATTTAACTTCTAGATACCTGTAAGTGTCATCTGGATATGTTTTGGTTATATAATCTTGAAATTCCACATAAGCCTTTTCTTGAAATTTCTCAATCTGTTCCATGTTTTCTAGGCCTGGATGATCTGTAACATGAAAGAATATACTGTTACCCTACTTCTGAATTTCATTTAATAAGGCACCTAGAGTGGAGATAAAAGGGGGTGGGGAGACAGTTTGGTCACCCTGGCCGGTTTGGCTCAACAGTTAGAGCATCGGCCCACGGAACAATGAGTCGCAGGTTCGATTTTGGTCAAGGGCACGTACCTCGGTTGCAGTTTGTCCCTGGCCCTGGTCAGTTTGTGCGGGAGGCAACCAGTCAATGTGGCTCTATCACATCAATGTTTCTCTCTGTCTCTCTCTCCCTCCCACTCTATCTGATAATAAGTAGAAAAATAGCCTCGGGTGAGGAATAAAAAAAAAAGAACAGTTCGGTCAAAAATGAAGCCTCATCATGTGTGTGGCTCTTTCCATAAATATTACTAAACACCAGGTACTGTACTTTAAACCCTTAAAACTATTTTATCTCATATATATATTCTAATATCAAATAAAAAAATGAGGCCAATGGGTTCTACTAAAATAGATAGTATTTTAATTTATCCCAAAGTGGTAGAAGGAATTTTGCTAATTTTTCTTTTAATAGGAATAAAAAAAAAATGACAGCTTAATTAAAACATTTTTAATCCAATGACATATTTGCAGATTATACTCTATACTATATTTTTATTTTAAAAAATCCCACTGTTGTTAGGTAAAAAGGCACTATGAACATCATCTGTATTAGAAAAATTATAATATGAAAATATAAAATAATCCATAAACATTTCAATGGTCACTATAAAATTTCAGAAATATAGAATTATTAAAAGAACTTCATAAAAATTATGCCTCACTTAAATATTTAAAAAGATGAAAAGCTGTCTTGCCTGAAGAGAATAAAATAAAGTAATGAACAGAAAATATTGGGAGTACTTTATATATTTTGGAAATTAAACCCCAACCTGATATATCATTGACAATCTCCAAAATATATAAAGTATTCATACAACTCAACAAAAGGAAAACAAAAAAATCGGCAGAGGACCCAAACAGACACTTCTCCAAAGAGTACATACAAATGGCCAAGAGAAATATAAATAAATGCTCAGCGTCACTAATCATCAGAGAGATAATTAAAACAACAATGAAGTATCATCTCACACTTGCCAGGAATGGCTACTATCAACAAATCAATAGACCCTGTGTTGCGGGAGCCGCTTCTTGGTCCCTTGCTCCTGCGACAAGGGACTCCTTCAGGCACCTCAGGCACCACTGCAGCCACCGCAGCCCCCGCGGGTGGGTTCGGAGGATTTGGGACAACATCTACAACAGCAGGTTCTGCTTTCAGCTTTTCTGCTCCAACTAGCACAGGCACTACTGGACTGTTTGGTGGTACTCAGAATAAAGATTTTGGATTTGGTTTTGGCACAACTGGAACTAGTACTGGTTTAGGTACTAGTTTGGGAACTGGACTTGGATTTGGAGGATTTAATACACAGCAGCAGCAACAACAAACTGCATTAGGTGGTCTCTTCAGTCAGCCTACACAAGCTCCTGCCCAGTCCAATCAACTGATAAATACTGCAAGTGCTCCTTCTGCTCCAACACTGTTGGGAGATAAGAGAGATGCTATTTTGGCAAAATGGAATCAACTGCAGGCCTTTTGGGGAACAGGAAAAGGATATTTCAACAATAACATTCCACCAGTGGAATTCACACAAGAAAATCCCTTTTGCCGATTTAAGGCAGAGGATTATAGTTGTATGCCCAATAATAAAGATGAAGATGGGCTAGTGGTTTTAGTTTCTAACAAAAAAGAAACAGATATTCGAAGCCAGCAACAGAAATTGGTAGAATCATTGCATAAAGTATTGGGAGGAAACCAGACCCTCAGAGTAAATGTAGAGGGTATTAAAATACTGCCAGATGATCAGACAGAAGTTGTCATTTATATTATTGAGCGTTCTCCAAATGGTACTTCAAGAAGAGTTCCAGCTACAACACTGTATGCCCATTTTGAACAAACCAATATAAAAACACAACTGCAGCAACTTGGTGTAACCCTCTCTATGACTAGAACAGAACTGTCTCCTGCACAGATCAAACAACTTTTACAAAATCCTCCTGCTGGTGGGAAAAAGCCAAGGTGGATAACCCTGATTCTGAAAAGTTAATTCCTGTTCCAATGGTGGGTTTCAAAGAACTTCTTCGAAGACTGAAGGTTCAAGATCAGATGACTAAGCAGCATCAGACACCAGATTAGATATTATATCTGAAGATATTGGTGAATTACAGAAGAATCAAACTACAACTATGGCCAAAATTGCGCAATACAAGAGGAAACTCATGGACCTTTCCCACAGAACCTTACAGGTCCTAATCGAACAGGAAATTCAGAGGAAGAGTAGGTATGCCATCCAAGCTGATGAAGAGCAGTTGCGAGTTCAGCTAGATACAATTCAGTGTGAACCAAATGCACTTACTCAGTTTAAGGGTCAACTAAATGAACTGATGTCCCAAATCAGGATGCAGAATCATTCTGGAACAGTCATAGATACAGACTGGGAATCGAACCTGAGACCCTTCGGTCCACAGGCCAATACTTTAACCACTAAGCCAAACCAGCCAGGGTTCATTCTGCCTTTTAATGTTGCCTAGCAAAGTATACCTAAAAATTCAGATGTTGATGTGACAACAGAACTACAGATCAATGATATCACTTCACTGATTTCAACTTTCCTTTTCATACCCAGGTAAATGTTTAACATTTATAAAATTCACCAATTTAAAGTGTATCATTCCCTTTTTTAGATTATTCACAGAATTGTGCAACCATCACCACAATCTAATTTTAGAACATTTTTGTCACTCCAAAAGAACTCTGTACCCATTCACAGTCCATCCCTCTTCTTTCCTCTCCTTACTCAGTCCCTGGTAATTACTAATATACTTTATATGCCTGTAAAATTAGCCTATTCTACACATCCCATATAAATGGAATCATATAATATTTAATCTTTTGTGACTGGCTTCTTTCTCTTAACATACTTTTTTTCAAGGTTCATCAATGTTGTAGCATGTGTCAGAACTTAATTTTATAGCTGAATGATATCCCATTGTATGCACATATAACATTTTGTTTATTTATTCACTTGTTGATGAACACTTGTTTCCACTTTAACTGCATCACTTTATATTCCCACCAAAGAGTATGAGGGTTCCGATTTCTCCACAACCTCAAAAATTGTATTTTTAAATATAAGAAGTCAATATTTATGTACCTGGACTGAAGAGTACTATTGCCTTTAAGTAGGCATATTCATATCCATCAATGCAGAGCTTAACCATGCTGTTGCAAAACTCCTGGAGTTTGAAGATGTGCTCCATCAATAATTTTCTTCTTTCTGTTGACATTTTATCTTTAATGAAAAACACACAAGCAATCAAAAGCTGGTTTTCTGTTCAAATGATTATTTTAATCCAGCATATTTCCTTCTCACTAATTTCCAGCTTTAAATATAACCGATCTATAAATGTTTAAAATTCAATATCTGTGCAAGTATAGATGAAACTAATTAATGATATTTGGACGCTGTTCATTCAAGAAAAAAACTACATAAGCTAACCCCGGATTCCTTGGTACCTATACCAAAGTACAAAAATTCACAAGGCCTGGTCAGAAACAGCCAGCCAGACTTAAATATACTTGTTTCAATTTTGTTGTACTTTAAAAAAATTTTTAATTTAAATTTCTCCCCCGTGTCCAGGGCATGCAGGCATGGGCACGAACTAGGCATGGGCACAGACCAAAAGCCAAGCTGGGATAAAGAAGGAGTTACTTGTCCCTGGCTGATATGAGACAAGCACCACCAAACCAGGTGCTACTCTACCCAGATCAGCAACATAGAAATTTAAATAATCAAAATTATTTTTGCCCTGCCCAGTTTGCTCAGTGGTTAGAGCATAAGCCAGCAGACCAAAGAGTCGCGGGATCAGTTCTGGTCAAGGACGCATACCTCAGTTGCAGTCGGTCCCTGATTCTGGTCGGGGTCATGCGAGAGGCAACCAATTGATGTGTCTCTCTCACATCAATGTTTCTTTCTCTCTCCTTCTTTCTCTCCCTTTCTCCTTCCTTCCCTCCCTTCCACTCTGTGTGAAGATGAATGGAAAAAGTATCCTCGGGTAAGAATTTAAAAATAATAAAAATAATTATTATTTTTTCAATGATCAATGAAATTATCAAAATGTAAAAATCAACTAAAATAAAAAGGATGTTGGTATCTAAGATATTATCATCAGATATGTAACTTTAATAGTAACACTTTATAAAACTGACATCCTCTCTTATATCCTAGAAAAAGAAATAAATAAGATGCTTTTTACCTTGTTGAAGGCTACTGTGAAGGCAATTGACAAATGTTGCTAATATCGTTGCCACATTCATTACTTGCCAGCACTGGGCAAGACCAAGAGTAAAAAGTTCATTCCAATAAGCTTTCACCAATGATATGCTGTTTTCTTGCCTATTAGAGACATATATACACAAATAAAATATTATTAAAATATATTTTATAAACTTTACAACTGACTCATATATTTTAAAGTAAAATATACTACTGAAGTACAATTACTCTAGAAAGATGAACTGGGCACAGCCTTGATCAATTCTGTGTTCTGTATACCTGACAGCACTTAATGAGGAAGGCTTGGAAATTTAGTCAGCTAGCTCATTAATCAATCGGCCAGTTTATAAGAACAATTTCAAACTACAGAAGTTGGGGCTTTAATCCCACATTTCATGGAAACAGATACATAAAGATTGTTTCAAAAAATTTTAAAGCAAAAGCATGAATTTAAAAAAACAAAAACCAAAAACCTTTCCCAAGTTTTATTTTGCTTTAAATTCAGGTAAATACTCTTTTTTAAAAAACAGGCAATTAGAATTATTTGATGATAGGTAAGCAACCAATTTCCTGGGAGAAATAGTTTCTTCTTTAGGTATGGTTCAGATGAGATGTTATTATTTCTATAAATGAGATACCAAAGATTTTACTAGAAGTAAGGAGGATAAAAAAGGTCAAAAGTTCTTTCCTGAATTTCTAAATAAGAAATCTCAGCTGCATGAGAGAATAGAAGAAGTATTAGGAGTCAAGATACCAGGGTTTTAAAAGCTAGATAATCCAATTATTATCTGTTTGAAATCAGGCAAATAAGCTTCCTAAGGCTAAAGCTGTTTAGCTATATAAAAAGCAAAGACACTCTAGATCCTGTATCTAGCTCAGTTATTATGAGGCACAAATGTAAGAATTATGTAAATAGGCCATGACATAAAGCATAAAAGCCAGACACTGTTCAAAACGCTGGAGAAATAGCAATAAACAAGATGGATTAAGTCTGTACCTTCATGAAACAGAAGGACAATATAATGAATATATCATTTTAAGTATTTTATAGAAATATAACACACTGGTTATACATACATTGTTAGTTTCGGGTAATAAAAATTCTAGATTACTATAAAGTAGGACACTGCATTAGAAAATGGGGACGGGGGATTGTGTTCTGGTAAGGTGGTTGGGAAAGGCCTTACTAAGGGCTTGACATTTAAGTTGTTTGAGTAGAGAAAAACAGGAAAGAACTTATAAAAAATCTAGGGGCAGTAATCCAGGAAGGAAGAACAAGGGCCAGACTTGCTGAGGTGAGAACTAGTATGTAATAGGTATTCAATGAAAACTGTTGAGTGAATTAATAAATACTATCCTCCCTTTAAAAAAAAAAAATTCTAAACATTTTATTTCAAACTATGGTCTTTTTATGAATCAAAAGAATCAGCAGTTTATTAACTTTTTTCTTTTGGTTAAATTTACTGGAGTGACATTGGTTAATAAATTTATATAGGTTTGAAGTGTACAATTCTGTAATACATCATCTGTATATTGTGTGATCACCACCCAAAGTCAAGTCTCCTTCCATCCCCATTTATGTGACCCCCTTTACCCTTTACTACCCCTTCCTCCCTCATTCCCAGTAACCACCATACTATAGTCTGTGTCTATAAGTTTGTTGGTTGGTTGGTTGGTCTTGTTTGTTCATTTGTTGTTTTAAATTTTATATCCCACATTAGTGAAATCATATGGTTCTTGACTTTTCTGTCTGCCTTATTTCCCTTAGCATAATATTTTCAAGATCCATCCATGCTGTCACAAATGGCAGTATTTCATCTTTTCTTATGGTTGAGTAGTATTCCATTGTATATATGTACCACATCTTCTTTATCCAGTCATCTATCGAAGGGCACTTCGGTTGTTTCCATGCCTCAGCCACGATGAATAATGCTTCAGAAATTGTAATGCATGGATATCTTAGATGGGCTTGTGTGTTGAGCAGGGAATCCTTTGTTGAATTATAGCTGTTCAACCTGTAACTTCAAAGGAAGAGGCCAGGGGAACCTCCGACGCTGTGATTCCTCTGATGTTACTCCTCCCTTCTTAAATATCCTTTTACTGGTTAATTCCTTCTTATCCCTTAACCTATAGCTCAGAGGTCTTTTAAAAAAAACAAAAACAAAACATTCTCTTACCACATTCCTCTCCCAAGAGAGTTCATCATTCCTCCTTCGGTGTCACATATTCACTTATATTTTATACTTATTTCATGGTATTCTAATTTTGGGTTTAGGAGTCTGTCTCCTATACTACATTAAAACCTTACTGAAGGATTATTCATTTCTTTATCTCTGTCAACAGCACAGTAGATGGCATATAGAAGAAATTCAGCAAATGCTTTCTGATTTCAGGGGATACAGAACAGGGAGAAGTAAGAATTTAGAAGACAGTTAGAAAAGCCATGGGCATGGGCCCTTTCCCTATCGAACAAGCTTTACACTAAAACCTACATATACTTATTATATATAAAATAACAAAAGTATAAGATTTCCTTTCTCTAAAGAGATTTAAATTGGTAAGAACATCCTGATAGGAAATATGTACATTCTGATGAAGGGTACTTGAATTTTTTTCTTCTTAGTAAATCTTTAAAATTAGGATAATCAGCATATTTAACAGAAATTATTTATCAAGTTAAAACCCATAACCTTCTTTATGACATACATTTAAGAATTAAATAGACTCAAATAAAAGCTTATATTGCCAACATAAGAGTTATAGAAAATAATTTTTCTCAATGGGAATTTTTCAGGTGAAATTTTTACTCCAGGCTGATAGCTCTTTCCCATTCAGTATCTGAGAAGAATTAGCTGCCATAAAAAACTGGCCACTTAAGATTTATTTCAAAGTAAAGTTTAGCCCTGGCCAGTGTAGCTCCATTTGTTGAGCACTGTCCCGTGCACCAAAAAGTCTCCGGTTCAATTCCTAGTCAGGGTACATGCCTAGGTTGCAGGCTTGATCCCCAGTCGGGGTGCATGCAGCAGGCAGTTAATTGTTCTCTCTCTCTCTCTCTCTCAAATCAATAAAACAAATTAAAAACAAAAAAAAATTTGAATAAAGTTTAAATGAAAAGAAAATCAGTATTTTTAATTCTCCATATAAAAATGATTAAAATTTTGATTTCAAACAAAAGGTAACGATACTATTCTCATTTATCAGAAAAGATTAATAAAATCCAGAATTAAAGAGGGTGTGAGAAAATAAGCATTCATTCTTGTACATTGCTGATGTGGGTGTAAACTATCTCAACATCTTTTTGGAGGACAATGTGGTAGTACATAGTAAAAAACTAAAAGGTACATAGATACACCCTCTTAGATTCAGCAGTTCCACTTATAATAATAATGTGTTTTATAGAAATACCAACACAAGTACTCAGTCCTCATCCATGTGATTAATTCAAATTTTATTATTTAGTGATAACAAACAGAGCTTACACAGCAGCTACACTAATAGCTAATTCTAATTGCAAAGAATCCTGTGGCTGTTACATTGGACCCAATTTTTCAATAGCGATCACCAGGAAATGTGAATGCCACTATAAAATTATACTATGTTATAACCAGAAACCTCAGGTCTTATTTTTGGTTTCTTCAACATTTGGATCATTTCCACAGGATAACCACACTTAATTTAACAGAAGTATTTAAGATCAAATAATTCAAGGAGTTCAAATCACTACCCCCCAAATCCTTCCCTTTGTTGTTTTACTATAATAATTGACATTGTATTATGAAAAACAGTGTGCCAATTACAGCTTAGGGAACTACATTTAATGCTTTAAAATACATGAACTGCTAATGTGTAAATTTACATAGTATTTAATTTTTCTTAAAAAACAGAGTGGAGAAATTCTGAAAGTTAAATGTTATTTTCAGAGAAAGGGCTAACAATCTTTTAAAGATTAACCATTATATATAAGGCTCTTAGTCCATGTAATTGTATTATTTAAGTACTCTATTTAACACATGGTATTAATGCATGGTATATCCGTTGATTAATAAATAAAATTTCAGTGGAGTTCTACGTATGCCTTTTAAAATTATGATTCAGCTATGTTTCTTAGTTGTATGTTTACGAAATCATATTGGTGAGTAGGGTCCTGTAACCAGAATACTTATCTAACGATGGGCTTAACATTTTCCCCATGGTCTCTTTGCTTCTTCAAACCAGTTACTTTAAAGCAGCGGTTCTCAACCTGGGGGTAGAACGACCCTTTCACAGGGGTCACCTAAGACCATTGGAAAACGCATAATCCGATGGTTTTAGGAACTGAGACACCACTTCTCCGTCTCCAGGCGGGTCCGCCCACATACAACATGAGGATCTGTATTAAAGAGTCGTGGTAGCCCTGGCCGGTTTGGCTCAGCGGTTAGAGCGTCAGCCTGCGGTCCTGAGAGACCCGGGTTCGGTTCCCGCTAGGGGCATGTACCTCGGTTGCAGTTTGTCCCAGCCCTGGTCGGTTGTGTGGGTGGCAGCCACTCGATGTGTTCCTTTCACATCGATGTTTCTCTCTCTCTCTCTGTTCCTCTCTCTCCCTCCCACTCTACCTGAACAAAAAATGGAAAAATGTCCTCGGGTGAGGATAAAAAAAAAAAAAAGAGTCGTGGTATTAGGAAAGTTGAGAACCACTGCTTTAAAGTAATCTAAATAAATTTGGCAAACTTTAGGTAAAGCTTGGGTTTCTTATAGTAGACTATTTCCATTAACATCTAAGTACTTTAGAACAAAATACAAATAAATGTGCTATTCAGCAGAAAAGACCAAACTTCTAAATTATCATAGTAGTACTATGGGGTTTATATTTTCTTCCCTCTTCTCAACCACATAAATGGAAAACAATTATTTCTATTTTTAAACATATTCACTGTTTACAAGTTTCAGCTCCTTATTAAAATGCTTGAGATGAACACTGGTCGTGGAAAGAAAACAACAACCCCAAGGACATCCCTACAGGCCCTATCTTTGAGTCATTCAGAGTCGGCCTATTACAAACGCTGGCCATAATTTATCAGTTCCACTGCATATATCCCATTCACATTGTTAACTTAGTCAAATCATGAAATAATGACTGTCTTCCACATAAATATAATATACAGAGAATACTAGCTGCCATTATTTCGAACATACATGACAAAACTTAAAGTTGTTATACCAATTTTTTCCTTTAATGCAGATCCTCCCAAAGTAAAAAAAGTTATTGTTTAATGTACATTTGTGCTACAAAATCACATTTATATTTAAGACTTCAAAACACTTACCCTAAAGCCTGGAAGGAAGGAATAGAAAGTGCCCAGTGCATCGATAAGAACAGCAGTCTGGAGGCAGACTCCCCGATGTAGTGCACATTCAGGTACTCAGGCATAGGAGAAGGCATGGTGAGCTATCGTGAACAGGGATTTAGGGAAATTATCTCATGACCAACAGTTCTAAACTGTCATTTCTTTGAAAACGTTAAATCTAAACATATTACATGAGTCTAATAGATCACCAAAAGGCAAATCTTGAAATAATCTAAATCATTGGATTTTATAGCTAAAAATAGAATTTAGAATAAATGAGTAGATCATAGTTTCTAAAGAAGCAGAATCCTACTTAATAAATATCCAACCATATTATCTGGCTATGTTTTTAAAAGTTACTTTCTATCTTGGTCTAGCAATGTATTCGTTCCTTTCTTCCCTTTGTTTGTTAACAATAGTGTACAACAACTTTAGTTTAAGGAGCAATCCTGTATGCTAAATGTTCCTTTCACTTAGGCTATGGAGTTCAGTTCAAATGCTTACAGGGTCAGGGGAGTATTGAGTGAAGCAGGCCTGCTGGTACCATCTGGGAAGTGCATACCCAGATAAAGGGCACAGCTGTGATCTGAATTCAACACACTAAAAACATATGAAAATCAGGGCCCAGTACTGCCTGCTATCAATTTTTCATTTCATATAAATATATATATATATATATATATATATATATATAGAGAGAGAGAGAGAGAGAGAGAGAGAGAGAGAGAGAGAGGTAGAGAGAGAGAGAGAGAGAGAGAAGGAAATACACCACATAGTTAATAGCAGTGGCTAACCGAGGGTGGGGTAGCTAGATGTGCATATATAGATTTTTCTGGGGAATGGATATATAGCTTTCAACAGATTCTCAAAGGTGTCTATGATGCCAAACAGATCAAAAGACTTTTATCAAAACAATATAAAAGTTCTCCAGAAATATTATATAAAAATGTAAAAAATATTAACTTCCCTTGTTCAGTATTAGCCACATTAAAATAAATATTCACCATATTAAAAATAAAGGTTTACCTCTTTATAAATGGTAGCAAGTAATAAAATAACAGGGCAATTAACAGTTGGAATCCATGGATTAGAAGGTAATTTTCTACATGTTTGAGGAATGTTTATTGGAGCAATTAAAATACCATTATTTAAGATAGTTCTTAAGAGAACTGTAGGCAAGCAGCTATTAAGCATCTTAAATGTAATTATTAGGATGTAACTGTTTCTACACATAAGAATATAAAAAGCAAACTAGGACTATCATACCTTTCCAGAATTTCTCATGGTGAATGGAGGAAAAAATACCTAAAAAACTTGGGAATTTCCAAAGATTACTAGTTTTAGGAGGGAGGAGTAAGTAAAAGGCAAAATAGCAACAAAGAATACCCTTTGCTAAATAGTTTTAAATGACTTAAAAAAATATATATTTATACTATATAAAAAGCGGATACAAGGGTTAAAGGATACAGATACACCCTGATTTACATAAAAGTGGTGGTAATATTAAAAAACTTTGTTGATTTAGTCATAAAATTGAAATCACCTGCAATATACACTAGAGGAAGTCATTATTTAAAAGACTACCATGTTGTATTATTTTATAAAGAAAGAAAAGGTCACAATTTACCTGTTCTAATATTTAATTTTCTTTTTCTTTTTTTTTGTTAATCCTCAACCAAGGATATTTTCCCATTGATTTTTTTTTTGGATAAAGTGAAGGGAGGGAGGAAAAGAGAAAAAAAATATCGATGTGAGAGAGATACAGCGATTGGTTTCCTCCCTCACAACCCCAACCAGGGACCGAACCTGCAACCCAGGTACATGCTCTAGACCGGGAACTGAACTTTCGGTCCACTGGCCAACACTCACTGCTAAGCCAAACCGGCCAGGGCAAATACTTAATTTTCTTAAAGCAAGACATGCCTTTTAGCATTATGAATCAGAAAGCCAATGTTGGCTAAGGAAACAAATCTTTTAGATAGCAAAGACAGCCTGGCCAGTATGGCTCAGTAGTTGAGCATTGACCCATGCACCAACAGGTTGCCAGTTTGATTCCTGGTTAGGGCACATGCCCAGGTTGTGGAACAAATCCCCAGTGGGGGGCATGCGGGAGGCAGTCCATTGATGTTCTCTCTCATTGATGTTTCTATCTGTCTCTCTTCCTCTCTCTCTAAAACTTAGTAAAAAGAAAAAAAAAATTTTTTTTAATCTGTAGATAGCAAAGACAAAGATGTCTTCCTCTACAAAGAGAAGGTAAGTTTCTACTACAAAGATATTAAAGTTTCCAGAAAATGTCTGTAAACTTTTAGGTTTATAAATTGAATTATACACATTTTCAAATTATATACATTTAATATGAGAGATGACTAAACTAGGCTACCTACTCTATTTATTTACTTAGTTAATCCTCACCCAACGACATTTTTTCCAATGATTTTTTTTTTTTTTTTAATCCTCACCCGAGGACATTTTTCCATTTTTTGTTCAGGTAGAGTGGGAGGGAGAGAGAGGAACAGAGAGAGAGAGAGAAACATCAATGTGAAAGGAACACATCGAGTGGCTGCCACCCGCACGACCAGCCAGGGCCGGGGACAAACTGCAACCGAGGTACATGCCCTTAGCGGAAACCGAACCCGGGTCTCTCAGGACCGCGGGCCGACGCTCTAACCACTGAACCAAACCGGCCAGGGCTCCAATGATTTTTTTAGAGAGAACAGAAGTAAGTGGGAATGGGAGAGAGAGAAACACCGACGTGAGGGAGACACATTGATTGGTTGCCTCCTGCATGCACCTCGACTGGGACTGGGGATTGAACCTACAACCCAGGTACATGCCCTTGACCAGGAATCTAACCTGAGTCCCTTCAGTACTCAGGCTGACATTCTAACCACTACACCTGGCCAGGGCTTGGCACCCTACTTTAGAAGTTACTGTCTGCAATTACCTTTCCAGCAGTTTCTGTATGTAATTCTCATAATAGGATAAATAATACCGCTTTTAAAAACATCATTTACTTGAGTTAGAAGATCTTGATTCTGTTCCCAACTTGTTAATTAGTTGTGTGACCTGGATCACATATTAATTCAGCAACCATTTATTGAGAGTTCACTGTGAGCCAGTAAGCTAAGTGCTGTATGCTGTAGTTTCAATAGAGAAATAAAATGGAAAGTGAATGAGCTATAGAAAAGGCTAAGAAAGGGAATGATATGTCTGAGAAATGATGAGCAACTGAATCAGAATGTTGATGGTCCTAAAAGGTCATGAACTTTATCTCACATGGGCAATGGGAAGTTACTGGAGGTTTTTAGGTAGCACAGTAACATAACTGGATTGATTTTTAATAATTATACCTCTGTAATCAGTGCACATGACAAGATGGAGAAGAGAGATTGGAAGCAAAGATATTACTATAACAACTTAAGAAATTTCAAAAGGCTGAAAATATGGCAACAAAAATGATGAAAAAAGGAGAAATGCTAACAACAGAATGGTTAGGTTTCAGTCGGGGAATGAGGATGGGGAAAATGACAATGAATCCCTCACAGCAAATGTGGTAAGCAGGACTGTGATTTTAACACTGAGATAATAAATTTCAAAGAACAGTTTAGGAAATCACCTACCTCTGTCTAATACACTTATTTCCAAATGGGAATACTATCAACCTTGATTATTTGTATGAGGAAATTGTAATAATCAAGTGAGATAAAGTATATGAAATTACACCAAAAACTCTGAAGTTTAATAGAAATGTTAAATATTTCTCTGTCCTAGGTTCTTCAGAATCAAAATGTATGATTAGACAATTATTCCTTACTGTCTGGGTTGCTTTCAACAAGACAATAAAAACCTCCAAATCTCTCTTCTCATTCTCAAAATGACAATAAAAACCTGAACCTTCTCAACAAACTGTGGTGACACCCAAATGAAATAATGTATGTGAAAGCATGCTGCAAACTATACTCACTATATGTAGCAGTGCAAGAAAGGGGGGGATATGCTATTTTTAGCTCAGCAATTAAGAGAGAATTGATTTTTTTTATTACAGAAGTCAGGTCTTGAAAGTTATGACCATAAAACCTCAATGAAAGAACCAACCATGAAAAGTACCAGGCTGGGAAGTCACTGGAAAGTAAAACTCCTGAGTTCACAGAAGCTGTAAACAAAAATCAGGGAAAGAAGGAGCTGTTTTTTTCAGGAGAGCAAGAAACTTTACAGTGCTGATTCTGAGAACATCCAGAGTATAGCAGGTTAAAGATGCAATGAAAAAAAAAAGTTCGCTCAGTTGGTGTGGCTCATGAGCATCGATCGTTCCATGGACTAGGAGAATTCACTTGGATTCCAGGTCAGGGCACATGCCTGGGCTCAGACCCCACTAGGGGGCGTGCAGGAGGCAGCCAACTGATGTTTCTCACATCAATGTTTCTATCTCTCTCTTCCTTCCTCTCTCTAAAAAAATCAATTAAAACATATTTTTTAAAAAGAAAAAGTTCTATTTGCCTAATCATCTGTCCAAAACAAATATTTGAAAGAAAAACAAAACTCTCAGGACCAACATCAATAATAGAAAAGGTGGACGACAACTACTACTTGTATTCTTGAGTATTTTTCCTTGCAATGGGTCCTCTTCCTACATCTTTTACCCTTCCTTCTCATTTAAATCCAAAGGCTGAAAATAAAACTGATAAAAGAATATCTTTACTTAGAATATGAAAGAGCAATGGGAAAGATCAGTTTTGCTTTGTTCCACCCCTATTTTTAAGGATGACACCGATTATTCCCATTGCCTCTAATTACAGCCCTCATAAAAGTTTTCTTGCACAGTGCAAATAAAACTTTTCTAATTTTTCCATGTTATCTTTGTAAAATTTTACATAAAGATTAGTTTCACTGATATGTTTTACTGACTATCAAATTAGAGTGATTATTATTTAAGTCACTGGGTATATTCTCTGTGGCTATTTCTACCAAGTAATCAAAGTTCACGAATACAAACTTTATAACATGTTATTCTGGCCAGTATTAGATTTGTGCCCATTTCTACCAGTGACACACACATCTATTTGATAACTGTATATTTTCATAAGAAACCCATGAAAATATATAATCTGCAGTAAAGTTATGTAATTATTCAGGTATTCCAGGACTACTATGTATTCCTAAACATCCTACATACTTCCACAATCACTCTGCAAATGATTTGCTAACAGTACTCACAGCTGGCAGAGCAAAGATATAGAGTGGTTAAAATGGAGGGGTCAAAACAGCTGGGTCTTAATTAGGGCCTCAATGGCCAGCATATCTATAACTGAATGACAAACATTTGAATGACAAATCAAATATTATAAACTTATTTCCTAACGTTCTATAAGTATTCTTTCTAGAATTCTAAATGTATTTCCATCATAAATTTACGTATATTTGAGGAGCACAAAAGAAATTACAAGTGTACCTTCTCCAAAATGGTTAAAATGTAAAAAGTTAAAAACCAAAGTTAAAATGTATTAAATAACATTTACCTTCTTAAAATAACCCTGAGAGCTAGCTAACTGGGGCAATACAAAACAAATGGAGTTCTTTGTAGTTACTGTGGTAAGGGCAGAGTTTCTGAGTCTCAGATACTGGTTTACACTAAAGTAACAGCAGCTAGACATTGAACAGAACCAGTGCAGGTGACACATCATGAATGCCAATATTTAAAGTTAAAAAAAGAAACAATGTATAAATTTTCTAAATGCTAACTTTTATAAACTTAAACCCATCAATTAATATTATAACTATGACTTAAAAACAGGATTTATTAAGCCATTATTTTATATAGGCAGATGTATGGTTTAGCTGCTTTTCTGAATTCTATCAGGGATATTTCTGAATTTAAAAAGCACAACAAATATACTTTGATTTGTGAAAGAAAGATTAAAATCAAATGGATAATACAACATGAAAATTATAAAATATATATATGGAAATACCCTGAAAGCTACATGTGAATCGCTGAGAAGTGGCCCCTCTTTTTCGATGTAATTTATGTTCGAGTCTCCAGCAATTAGGTGTACGCTTCCTTCCATGCCCTCTACTGAGCTCTGACAGGCTGTGCTCTCTCCAGGATTCAATGCTTTTGCAAGAGTGTCAAATGCCCTATAAGGAGACATCAGAAGCTGTGAGCTTGGCCAATCTCCACAATTAAAATTCTACATAAAATTCTGGAATTAAGATTGAGGTCTAAAAAGCTGTTTAGAAAATAAAACTTTGGTGTATCACTGAACACTATTTCAGCGTTATCTATGACTCTCCAAAAGCAACAAATTAGACTTCATATGTAATAGTATAAAAAAAAAAAATTTAATGTATTACCAGAGAACCAGTCTTTAAAAAAAAAAATCTTATGTAAGAATGAGAAAAACCCTTCTACTTTGGTATGTAAATATGCTTTTACAAGTTATACACTTATTACTATAGGATATCAGCTCATTTATTTTATATATAGCAGTTATTTAGAAAGAACAAGGGCTAGAACTTATATTGATTTTACTGTGCTCTACACAACGCAAAATTAGGTTTTAATTTTATTTAAAAATTCAGAGAATATTTTTAAACTTGTGGTTACATAGCTACAACTAAACTTGAAGAGTTTGAGATTAAGATGGCAAATAATTAACTGTTAGCAAATAATTATTCAAAATAACTCCCCATATTTTTAAATAAGATGCCTTCTAAAGTTACTTAAAAGTTCTTGTTCAACAAAGTACTTAATGAGACTCTTAAATACAGGTTCTTCAATATTTTAGATTATGGACAGAGTGTTAAAAAAGCCTGAAGAAATCTGGTTTTTACATCCTAAGTTTTAATATTGAGAGAATGAATAACAGAATTATGACATGAGTTTCCTGAAGTGTAACTTGAAAACTGTAGTTGATTTAACTAAGTCTTTAAATCTATTTCATCACTAAAAACTGATGGGGAACATGACTGCCTAATAAAGATAAATGTTTAACTCTACACAGAAGATAAAATCTGGTGACTAAACTATCTGAAATTTCAGACCCAAATGATTATCTTTACTGGAAAAAAAATTCTGAATTTTTTTCACTTACTGCTCATTATTTAGAAGGTAACCTGCTGGAAAACATTTTACTTTGAATGCAGTTTTTCAGTTAAAACTTACTATGGCTTAAATTTTCTAAGTCTAATAAAAATACTTGTTTTCTGAAACTTCTAAAAATAGTATTCAACATAAAAATATTTTAAGAAATACTAACGGACACTTAAGATCAAAACAAACATTACCTTGAAACATCACCGTTGGAATGCATTTCTTGGTTAAATTCATACAAGGAGGTATCACCATTGCTTAAGCCTTCAATCGTAGACATTTTATTACTATTTTGAAAAATATCTTTAGTTTTTCCAAGATTTGCTAATGATGTAACCACACTGGCCAATGTACTTAAATCTCCCTGACATGATTCACCCTTAAAAAAAAAAAGGTATTAAAATTATGCAAGTTGTTATCTGTAAACTTTTAAATCTGAAATACCCAATTATTAGATTATGAAATCCAAAAAGAAAAGAATTCTAGCCCAGGAGGTGTGGCTTAATGGACTGAGCATCATCCCACAGAATGAGAGGTCCCACTTTGATTCCAGGTCAGGGCACATGCCCAGGTTTCCGGCTCGATCCCCAGTAGGGGGCGTGGAGGCAGCCGATTGATGTTTCCCTCTCACACTGATATTTCTCTCTCTCTCAAAAATCAATAAAAACATATTTTAAAAAAAAAAAAAAAAGATGAAACTTAAAAAGTAAAATCAAAGAGCTCTGAGCATTTAGAAACTTCCTGAGAGAAATACATGTTTAAAAACATCAGATACATTTCCTATGTTTAAACGAATATTATAAAAGTTACTTCAAACCAAAAATGGCACTAAATGGTTCATCTATCTGTGTCATAGTCACTTCCTCTGTTAAAAGGCTATTCAATTACCCTGGCTGAGTGGCTCAGTTGGTTGGAGCATCATACCATACATCATACCATACACAAAAAGGTTACGGGTTTGATTCCCAGTCAGGGCACATACCTAGGTTATGAACTGGATAGCCAGTAGGGGTATGTACGGGAAGCAACCAATTGCTGTTTCTCACACTGTTTCTCTCTCTTTTTGCCTTCTTCTCTCTCTAAAATCAGTAAAAATATCCTCAGGTGAGAATTTTTAAAAAAAAGAAGCTATTAAATTAGATCCTTTTTATATTAAAATTCTGATGTTGTTATAATTTCTAAAATATAATATAAAAATTATAAAGTTATATAGAATGTAATAAAATTACTAATTGTGAAAAGAGGGGAAAAAAATATGTATTATTGAACAGGCTTCCCAGGATACCAACTTTTATCAGCTACTGCATATTAAATACTAGGAAGTGTGTGTAGTTGAAACATCTTTTTACATATTTAAGATATTGGGCTTTCTATATACATTGCATATTTTCCCATTTCTCTCCAGCTTTTATTTTTGTTAATGATGTATGTATTTGTATATTTATGTATTAATTAGCTATATTTTATTAAAAACAACTTTCCTTAAACTCTACCCAGAAATATAATCGGTACAGCAAAAGCAGGTAAGTGCTTGATTCTCTTACCAATTTTCAGAGCAGTTAGTCAATGTCCTAGCAACTCTAATGGTGACAGATAAGTTGAGCATATTTTTTAATTCATAGATTTTTATATATTTGATGTGTTTCAACCCATTAGTCATTCTTCATCTTAACCTGAGAGGCCTTTAGTTGCCTTGTATGGTGTATTGATAAGATTCCTTAAAGATAATTTTGGTTCTTCCTTTATGGTTTTGTTTTTAGTATTATTGATCCTAAGAAGATACATGTTTTTGTGATGTTACATTTTTTATGGCGATTCTTTAATTTATGTGAAATTAATCTTGGTGAATAAGTAGAATGAAACAATTTTTGTGTTTTCCCAAATTAATGAATAGTCCCAGAATCATTTCCTGAGTATAACCCATCAGTTACTGAATTCTTACATAATTACTACTTGTATAATTTATTTAATCCTGACAACCCTATGAAATAGGAATCATCATCCCTTTATTGCTGACAAAAAGAATTATCTGCTGTCACTCCAGCAGTAAACAGGGGAAGCAGGGTGGGAAGTCAGGTCTGATGGGAAAGCCCATGTTCCTGACCACTCCGCTCCAGCCTTCTTATATATGAGTAAAAGAATTTCATATTTTTAGGTGTTTTAATTTTCTACTAAAACTTAAACACTTATATATTCTTTTCCATTTCATAACATGTCTACGTAACTAGGTTTTTAAGTTTTGCCACTCTTAGGCCATGTGGAAAGACCTCATCCTGTGACTTGATAGCTTGGAAACCATTTGTCAGAAATTTACCTCACAATGCTGTTATCATAATTTAATACAAAGATATATAGCCTGCACAATATCTGGACAAATAGCAATTTCTCAACAAAACTAATTATCTTCTGTTCCCAAAAGAGTTAATATATCAATGAAATTCTAACCACCAATCTCACCTTGAATCATGCAGACAAGGCTGAGTGAAAGTGAAATCTCCTAATTCCAAAATCTATGATACGAGGCCAAATCTCCTCACTTAATAGCAACGTGCTAAAGCCCAAACTGTAAGACACTCTCATTATCCGTTTTACAGATGAAAAGGGAAAATGAGACACTGAGAGGTCAAATAACTTGCCCTAGGTATGCAGCTAGCAGGTGGCAGCTGAAATTAAGACTCAAGAGCACAAATATTAAGAATGCCTTAAAGTATCAAGCAACAAATATATAACAAATAATACGATGAGTAATCTTACAGGGTATATAAAACCAGATCACATCACAAGCTGCGAGAAACAAGTCACTGGCTCCCTAAAATCTGTTTTCAGATATGAGTCTTCAGGAGAAAATTTTTTTGGTTCTCATAAGGGGTTTCTGAAAACTACAGAAATTTTACATGCTCAATCTAAATAAGCAAAACTTTCTTTTAGACAGACTCCTTGCTCAATAAAGAGCTGCTCCAAATCTCTAACAGAATTCAGATGACTTGGATACATAATACGAGAGCTTTTGCAATCCTATTCCTACTATTAAGTCAATGATTCGAGTCAGGTATGTTAGGAATTTCTCTTGGCACTATAAAACCTGTACTGAAATATAACAGGAATATTAAAATTTTTCACTTATTACAAATATCTATTAATGAGGACTTTTATTTCAAGATGGAAAGAAACTAGAAGAGTTGTAAATGTCACTTTTACATTAAAGCTATAATTGTCATTGTGGAATAATAAATATTTGTACTAATAAAGTTAATTCCTATAGTATTGGGATCCACAAAATGGAGGGCACTATAGTGGCCCTGCCTATGTCACAAATCTAAACTAAGTCAGCCTGTACTTACAGGAAAATATATCAAGGAAATCTAACATACGCCAGGCACAATCCTCAAACTAACAAACTCAGCTTTGCTAGCTTACCTTACCCAGAAAACAGGACCCGCCGGCCTTAAAGGGAAATCCCTGGCATTGAAGCCAATCATGCCGTTTCCTTGATGCAGCTTCTAAAGCTCTGTAAAACTCACTCTTGCCCAAAATCCCCAGGGAAAGTGTGTCCTACTGCTTATGAGGCACTGTACTCCCCCAATGCATGGATTGTTTTCCCCTGAATATAGGACATCAAATTTGTTACTAAATTGTTTTAGTTTTGTTATCTGACACTACCAAACAGTTGATAATTTATATTTAAAAACAGCAACTTGTAATAGTGAGTATTTAAGACCAAATCAATTAACTAAATTGATGGAGATACAGGAAACCATTTTAAAGGCTTAAAAATGTTTAATCTTTAAATTAATTGCACAAACATACCTTAACTGGTGTCATCAGCACAGCTGACTCAGTTTTTATTCCAGACTGATGAATATTCACAAACATTCCTGAATCTAATAGTCCTGCTGACCTGTAACAAATAAGGACAAATTTTACCTTTAGTTTCAGTGGGAAGAAAAACAAATGACCTGCTATTTAATAGGTTTTGTTTATTGTTTTTACTATACCTTGCAGTTTCACTATCTGTTACAAAAGTTGGAGTTGCAGCTAATGGGCTTCGAAGGTCTTTTCGAATGTAGATTTTTTCTGTTGAAGCCGCACAGTTGGAAGATTTTTCTCGTGATACTTCAATGGGTTTTCTTTCACACTGAACAGCTACAAAAATGTGGTAGACTATGTCACAATGCAGAATTTATAGGCAATTATAAATGTAAGCTCTGGATCATTAGTGATGCTAATGAGAGACATGGTTACCATAACTAAACTCCAAAGATAACCAACAATCAATCTTTAGAAGTGATTTGTAAATTCAGCAAAGTTGCTTTAGTAAAAGTTGCTTTAGTAAACTGTAACAGTAATTAGTAAAAGTGGCCATTTTGCATCTCTCATTCTCTTTTCTCTTTCTGTCACTGCTGTGGTAGAAATGTAGAAGAATTTTTTTTTTTTTTTATCTTCACCCGAGGACATTTTTCCATTTTTTGTTCAGGTAGAGAAACAGAGAGAGAGAGAAACATCGATGTGAAAGGAACACATCGAGTGGCTGCCACCCGCACAACCAACCAGGGCCGGGGACAAACTGCAACCGAGGTACATGCCCTTAGTGGGAACTGAACCCCGGTCTCTCAGGACCGCAGGCAAGAATTTAAAAAAAAAAAAAAAAAAAAAAGCTCACTGTCAAGAAGGAAAAACTGAAGTTAGGAGTCCCTTACCTACTATCTGTATGAAAGTTTTATAAAGTGGAATTATATTTAACCACCTGAAAACAGTACTAATAAGAGCCACAAAAGACCAGTGAAATATATATATATTTTTTAGTTAAGAGCAGTGGGGTTTTTGAGAATTCAACTGCTTAGTCTTCATTTATAAAATACAGGTAATCTATTTCATTTATTTTATAGGAATCTTATTTTATGATACTTAGGAGATAGTACAGTTGTTACATGTACATTTTCTGAGAAAAAAGATACCAATATTCAAATCCAAGTTTTGCCGTTTATTACCTGTGTGACCTTGAAGTTACTAAGTTTGTTTACTCAAATGTAAAATAGGTAACAGTAGTGCCTACTGCATAGAATTTTGCTGTGAGAATTAGAAAGTTCATATGCTACACAGTTAGGCATAATGAGAGTTCAATCAATACTAGCTATCAAAAAGTAAACTTAGTTGTGTGGTTTTTTTCCCACCATGTTCAAACTAGAAATACACAAATGGCATATAGGCACACTAACTAACCAGTTGTTGAGTGAATTAAAAATACACATGTACATATTTCTATATTTTTAGTTGAAAAACTATAAATTAAAAAGTATATAAAATTTACATATTTTAATGTGCTAATTTTAACATACTTCTAGAGTTTGCCTGAATCCTTAATTTTCTCCTTTAAAGCTAATACATACAGTCTTGTTTCATTCCAAAGGCAATACATCTCTGTAACCTGCAGTATTGACAACGGTTTCGATGGTGTTTATTGATAATACAGTCCTTAGATCCTCGGCATGAGTAAACTAAATTTTTTCGAATACTTCTTTTAAAAAATCCTTTGCAGCCTTCACAAGTTACTGCTCCATAATGACGCCCTAGAGACAAAATGTTTAGAAGTCACATACTTTAGAACAGAAATGAAATAAGCTCATTTCTTCACTTTAAACAACATATATGAGATGAAATTGAGATTTCTGAGTTTATGACATGAAAAAAAACTTCAAGAATTACCAAACAGAAAATGAAACAACCATATTCTCTGATAAGATATATTGAAGAATATGAGGTGGGTTTTTTTTGTTTGTTTGTTTTTAATTTTATAAAGTAACCTTAACAATGGTATGGAAAATTGAGGAAAGAGAAGATTAACAAAATCACTCATAACACCATGATTTAACATAACTATTTTCACTTCTGATTATCACTTACAAATTATAGTTCTGTTATATACTGTACATTTTAATCTGAAAAATATGCTCCAAAAAAGTATATAATATCAGTTGGTATTTGATATTACATATAACTCCTCACTGTGAGTTCCACTTTTTATATCTCTGGAAATATCTATTGCACTCTGATTAAGCTATCATTTCACAAACCACTTCTTTGGCACAACATCCATTAACAAATTGAACACACTCTAAGTGAAGCTCTAGTGGAGATTTTTGTAATTAAGCTATAGAATAAAGAAAATTAAAGAAAACAAACTGGGCCCTTAAACTATATCCCGCTGATGCATAGCACACATGAATGAACATGGGATTGGATTTCTGGCATGAGATAACAATGGCCAGAACTAAAATGACATAACCCTGAGTACTAGTAATAGATTTGGAGCAAAGCATTAAATAAAAGTTAACCACAGCTTTTTCCACCTCAATAATTCAAGTTACTCTGTATTCTTAGAATGAGAACAGGGCTCAACAGTTAGGTTAAAACTTAATGTTTTATATTACTAAGGATCACAACTCATTTTTAAGCAATTCTTTGACAAAACAGGTGTCATATTCAAAAAAATTTCCACACGTTCAGTTTACACTTTCAAAAGATTAACTGTCTTTCAATATTCTCACTGCAAGATCAAATTAAACTACACTGAAGAGAAAAATCTTTATGGAGAAAAAACTCAGGGGAAAAAAAATCAGTTAAATTTTATAGGCTAATATGAACCATAAAAACTACATGCTCCTTTGTTTTTGTTTTTGTTTTACTTTCATGGTAATGTGGGGTAGTTACTTTAACAACACAACACATATAGGAAGTTATTTTTAATGTTACCTGATGCTTTGTCTCCACATACTACGCAAAGATAAAATATCTTATTTGGTCCTTGGTCTGAAGAAGAATTATCTGTTAAGAGCTAAAAAAATTTCCCCAAAACAAAACACAATAATTTGTTATTATTCAATAATATTCTCATGTAAAAAAATTAAAAGAACATTCAGTCTTATATTTTGCTTTCTTTTTAAATTATTCTGAAACTTTTTACTGTCATTATGCCTATAACAATTAAATTATCAGTAATTTTCTTAACATATAGGTAAAAATTTCAAAGTTATAAGAAGCAAAGACAGTAAGAATACCTTTTTGATGTGTTCCATAACAATTTCATTAAAGTCAATGACTCTTAAAAATATAATTACACAAGTAGTTTTTTTTTTCCCCTTAATCCTCACCCCAGGATATTTTTCCATTGATTTTCAGAGAGAGTAAAAGGGAAGACAGGAGAGGGAGAAAGAGAGAAAGAGACATCAATGTGAGAGAGACACATTGATTGGTTGCCTCCCACACCACCCCAGCTGGGGCCAGGGATCAAACCTGCAACCCAGGTTCGTGCCCTTAAACAGGAATCAAACCTGAGACACTTCAGTCTGTGAGCCAATGCTCTAACCACTGCTCAGGGCTACATAAGTAGTGTTTAATGCATCTCACACATTAAGTATTTAATTCATATGGAACACGTCAAACTATTGCAGAAGTTATCAATCCTATTATGATATTTGCCTTTAAACCACCTTCCACATGAAATATGACTAAAATATGCTATAATAGCATAAAAATAACTCTAAATTTTAAAAAATAATTTTGCTGATGTATTAACTTATAATTATGGAAACATAATTGATAGCAAAGGTATAAACTTTTCATTAATGAGCTGTCTCAGGTTTGGGTTAGGTGTAGTGGTTAGGAGCAGGAACTGTGGAGTCTGACAAATAATCGCAAATTTATAGGACTAGGTGGAATGGCCTTGGGTAAATTACTAAGCCTTTTTAGATTATATAAAGGGCTCATCACTAAGTATAGCTAATGCCAATAAATACTGGTTTCTGCTTTTAGGTTTATTCTTCAACCTTTTCATCACTTTCTTTCCATCTTTAATGCAATCCAATTAATTAATTAATTCAATTAATCCAATCCAAAAATGTAATATTGCGTTTAGTGATCACCTTCCCCCTGCTTTAAAACAACTCATAAAGTGATCCTCTACTTTAACTTTTTCTTCTCTTCAGGGTGTGAATGTCTTCAGGAGTAATTCCAATTTTAAAAACTTTAAACAGTTCTTAAAAGAGCTGTCCTTTATTATGTTATAGTGGTATAATTTTATATCACCATAAAAAAATCAGTCTTCAATAAAACCCTTAAAACACACACACACACACACACACACACACACACACACAAATTCTGACATTAGATGTCCTTTGAAAGCACCTAAGACAAATACCACTCTTTTCCTTGATAGCACCATCTATTGCAAATGGTGTTACTATTTTATCTGCTATTTCTAAGAGTAGAAGAGATATTGAGAGGGTAAGCGACTTGTCCACATGCAATCATTTTTTAAATTTTGTTTTCTTTATTGATTTTAGAGAGAGAGGAAGGGAGAGGGAGAGACAGAAACATCAATGAGGGCCAACATTGATTGGCCTCCTGCATGACCCCCTACTAGAGATTTGGCCCACAACCTGGACATGTGACCTGACTGGGAACCAAACTGGTGACCTCTTGGTGCATGGGTCGACGCTCAACCACTGAGGCACACCAGCCAGATTCCACATGCAATCTTAAGTCACTAGACCAGAAATCAAATCTTCTTGGCCCAGGGAATTCCATCCTATATTTGCTTCTCTTTCATTGCCCTTAGCAATAATCCATAAGGTAGTCAAAGTACCAATATTACCTTTATTTTTATAATACAAAACGTTTTTCTTTTCTAAGTAAAAAACCTGACACATATTTCTTCAGCCAATATCATCAGTCATAAAGCATGATGATAATAAGTACCCTTGATATGATGTGATGAAAATGACACTTAAGCCCTGGCGGGATGCTCAGTGGTTAGAGCATCAGCCCACAGACCAAAGGGTTGTGGGTTCAATTTCCAGTCAAGTGCACATAGCTGAGTTGTAGGTTCAATTCCCAGCCCCGGTCAGGGTTGTGTGGGAGGCAACCAATCAATGTGTCTCTCTCACAACGTTTTTTTCTCTCTCTCCCTCCCTCCCTCCCTTCTACTCTCTTTAAAAATCAATGGAAAAATATTCTTGGGTAAAAATTAAAAAACAAACAAATAAAAATCATAAAAAAGAAAAAGAAAATGGCACTTAACTTCTGTGATCCTCCTCCCGCAAATCCACAACCACAATCTAACATGAGAAAATTATCAACCAAAGTCTCAAGAGTCAGGCAGCCTACAATATATCTGACCAGTATACTTCAAAACTACCAAGGTCATCAAACACAAGGAAAGTATGAGAAACTGTCATAAGAAAGAGGAATCTAAGGAGACATGGTAATAAATGCAATGTGGTGTTCTGAATCTAAAACAAACATTAGGTGAAAATTAGAGAAAGCTAAAAATATCTATTTAATTTAGTTAATAATGTATCAATATTAGTTCATTAATTATGAAAAATTTGTCATACTAACGCAAAATGTTAATAACAAGAGAAACTGTGTTCAGAGGTTATATGGGAACTCTGTATACAAACTGCTTAATATTTCTATAAATGTAAAACTTCTTTAAAAATCAAATCTGTTAATAAAAGAGAAACTGCAGTATTCATAATGTTATAAGGTTTTTTAGTGACTGCTGTCTTGTTGATAACTTTTTATAAATCCCATCCATTTTCTACCTTAGCAGTTTCTAAAAATGATGTAACTGAGAGAACAGAATCTATCAGGATACATAGACAAAATTTTGTATTTTATTAATTAGGAGATTTTCAACCCTAAAAAAAATTGTCTTTGAACAGTGTTACATAAAAAAATATGAAATCCGCCCTGGCCGGTTTGGCTCAGCGGTTAGAGCGTCGGCCTGCGGTCCCCAGAGACCCTGGTTCGGTTCCCGCTAAGGGCACGTACCTCAGTTGCAGTTTGTTCCCAGCCCTGGTTGGGTTGTGCGGGTGGCAACTACTCGATGTGTTCCTTTCACGTCGATGTTTCTCTCTCTCTCTCTCTCTCTCTCTCTCTCCCCCTCCCACTCTATCTGAACAAAGTATCAAAAAATGTCCTCGGGTGAGGATAAAAAAAATAAAAAAAAATATGAAATCCAATTTTAAGTGAGTACTCCCCTCAAATCTTTCTAAAGTCACTGTATTTGTATTCAATTATAGCAGCCAGCAGTAAGAATATCTACATAACCACAGGCATGCCATGTGTAAAAGCCCAAACTGGCTCTTGAAGTATAATATATAACTAGCAAAAGTTAACACTAACACATTATAAAGTTAATCTACACTACTGAGCTTGAATACTAAAGCAGAACATGGGGTAGATGGCTTGCTATATCAACCAAGATGTAAATGACAACAGAAGAGGCTAATTGACAATGACAGCAGCTATGATATCAACTTCTTGATTTGAAGCTGCTTGTTCAAAGCATAGGCAGCTTGGTCCTGGAAACTGCAGCTACAGAAGATGCTCCTAATCTTGTAGTTCCCTAACTGTGCAGAAGCAGCAGGTTCTCTTAGAAGTAAGATCTCAAGTGTGCTCCAGTAGTTATTTTGGAAACCTGACCTAGAATTGTTTCCTCAGACCTTCCCAACAATTCTTTGAGGTCTCTTATTCTTCATTAAATCACTTCCTGCCTAACTACCCATAGTGGAGCTTACTGCATGCAACTACGAGCCCTCAAAACATATGTGTGTGTATGGACGTGTAAGGAAAACCATAGTGGCCTATAGGAGAGGATAGTCACCATAATCGGCACAGCACATAATTTTATGCAAGATTTTTTTGTCTATAGAACATGCAGGATCGAAAGTCTTAATGTCAGGACTTATACTTATGACATGCTTTTTAATTCTTTTCAAGTGTAAGATAAAAAGATACTGTAGTTATTTACCTGGAGGTATTGTGCCGACAGGTCAGGAGCTGTAAAAAATAACTGGTTGACACCTGCTGCATCTGGAGTTGTGAGAAGAACTTTCCCTGGCGTGGAATCTTGCCTAGCCAGAATCACTTTGCTTGGAGTAGAACCATCATGATTTGTCAGAATGAACTGCTTGCCTTGTGTGTTATGATCAAGTGCTGTCACAATCTGGATTTTCTGGTCAGTTTGCTGCTCTGTAACAACCTAACACAATCACATAAAATTAATAAATCAACTCGATTTTTTTTCTCAAAGAACACAACTTTGTCAAACCTTCAGACAATGCTAGAAAAGCATACTCATTACATATAGGTGTCCCCCCAAAATATATGCAGGGTGTCTGTAGATTCTATTACATTTTGAAAATGAAATGTATTTTAATAAACACAGGCTTCATTATTACACTTTTTTTGTGTATACTTTTTTTGGGGGACACCTTATATCTATTCAATATATTACACACACCTTTTAAATAAGCAATTCTACTTCCATGAAATCCTATCTTATAGAAATAAACAAATGTACAAATAAATGAAGGTATAATACTAAGAACATTTAGACCTCACTATTTTGATTCCTTCCTCCCCCTTCCCTCCCACCTTCCATTTAGACAAACATTATGTTGGGTGTATTCTATTTGTGAAGCACTGTTTGTTCTGTGTCCTGAGATACAGCAATAAACAAAACAAAATCTTTGTTCTCATAAAGCTTTATTTTAGTTAGAAAAGGCAGATAAAAACCAAGTAAGCATAGAATATTGTCAGATGGTATTAAGTGCTATGAATAGAAATAAAGCAGGGTAAGGTGACAGTCACTGATAGAATGAGAGCCATGAGAAGGTAGAATTTTTGCACAGACCTAAGCAAAGTAACAGACCAAGGTTTAGGAATAGCTAGGGGAAGTGCATCTCAGGTAGAGGAAACATAAAAGAAGGCCATGGGGCAGAAATGAGTTAGACACACATGAGGCAAGAAATACAGCAAGAGAGCTGTGTAAGTGAAACAAGTGAGAGAGAGGGATTATGGTAGAAGATGGGATCTGAGTGACAGCAGGGGCCATATTATTTAAGGTTCCCTAGGACATAAAAGGACTGGATTTCCTACAGTGTGAAATGGAGATAAACTGAAGGATTTATGGAACAAAGGAATGCCAGGATCTTTTCCAAAAAGGATCATTCTAGATTTAGTGTGAAGACCAAGACTGTGAATGTTCAAGAGCAGAATAAAGGGAGACCAGACAGGATGTTATATTGGCAATATCTGGGTATTATATACGGGCGGCAATTCTGGCTGAGAACAGGGTAGTAGCCATGCTGGGGAGGTGGGAGACAATTGAATTTGGGATAGTTTATGAAGGGAAAGGTGACAAGATGAGCTGATGAACTGGATGTGGAATATAAGAAGAGTCAAGGATGACTATAAAATTTTGGCCTGAGGAATTTGGAGGACAAAACTGCCATCTACTGAGGACTACTTTGGCTTGGCAAAGCAAGTTTGTGAATAAAAAGGCCAGTATTGAGGATTTTTGTTGTTGTTGAACAAATGTTTTACAGAGTATACTCATTAAGCCAATTTAATTCCTTGATTAAATGTTTAAACGGCAGAGTTGGTTCATTTTCACCTTTTCCCATTTCCCTGAAATATTTTCATCCAGATTGTTTTCTATGCAAAATTTACAACAAAGTTCTGAATCACTAATCAGTCTTTGTCCAGAGAAAACTGTATTGATTATAGCTGCTGCCAATTTAAGTTTTCTCTTCTGACCATCATTCCTACCATGTCCTATCTTTCTAGGTGCAGTTTTAACTGTTGCCAACTTTATGTAGATTATTTCTACCAAGTCGAGTCTCCATCATCCCAAAAATTTTAATTTTTTCAATGATACCTTAAGATGTGACTTTGAATCGGTTCATCTATAACACATTTACCATGTAAAGTTTAAGCTGTTTTATGGCTTGTTTGTGTTTTGAATTATTTCTATCAGTGATCGTCACTGTGAATTGAATGGAAGTCTAATGGCTCAGACTTCTTAGAGAAAAGAGCATTAGGTGCATACATGGTACAACTGTCACTGGGTTGACACACTTTGTTTAGATGAGTACAAGGATGTTTACTACAGCATAGTAATTATAAATGGAAACTGAAGCAATCTAAATAGTCTTCAATAAAGAACAGTAAATAATTAAGTAAATAGAGTATGGAAAGTTTCCAGGTCTCAGGATCCTGTTCCACTCTAAAAATTACTGAGAGTCCCAAAGGACTTTTGTTTATGTGAGTTATATCTATGACATTTATCACGTTAGGAATTCAAACAGAGAATTTTAAGAAATATTTACTAATAATTTAAAAATAACTCATTAGCCTTGCTGTTGTGGCTCAGTAGTTGAGCATCAACCTATGCACCAAGAGGTCACCAGTTTGATTCCCAGTCAGGGCACATACCCAGGTTGTAGGCCCAATCCCCAGTGGGGGACATGCAGGAGGCAACCAACTGATGTTCTCTCTCATTGATGTTCTCTCTCATTGATGTTTCTATCTCTCTCTCTCTCTCTCTCCCTTCCTCTCTCTCTAAAAGCAATAAAGAAAAAAAAAAAAACGAGAGAAAATAAAAATAATTCATTAAATGTTAACATAAGTGACCTAATATTTTTTATGAAAAATATGTATATTTTTCAAACAAACAAAAATTTAGTGGGGACAATGCACTGATGTGTTTTTTAAAACTGGTTATTGTCTCACTTAACAGAAGCAAGATTCTCATATCTGTTGCAATGTTATTTTCATTAAAATATAGAAAGAAAAGAAATAAAACAGAAACTCCAGTCTTACATTTACTGATTGAAAGAAAGTAACAGGAATATCTTAATATTAACCCTCTTCACATTATAGAAACTATTCTTTGATACTACACCAAAACTTGACAAGTGGTAGCTTTTTAAGATTTGTTATAATGTGGAATCAGAAACTATATTAAAATCCATTGGTCTGTCTTCAATTTGCATGGATCCTTTAATAATGAGCTATTTTGTAACATCATGCATTGGTCATTTGGGAAACATTGGTTGACTGAGTTATGTACACCTTTTAAATGGTGACACATTTCACCATGCAATTATCATGTTATGTAGCCTCTGGAAAATTCTGCTATATACTGAAATAGAATGATAGTAAAAAGGCAAATAATATTTTAGTACCATTATGAAAATGGTTTTGACCTTGCTAATTCTCTGAAAGATCCCTAGATGATACCTGCTAATTTTCTTAGTATCCCTAGGTGATACTTTGAAAACCAATAGATTATGGTGTCTCTTACTAAGAAGTAGGACATAACTATTCTATTTTTTTATTATTATTATTTTTTTTATCCTCACCAAGGACACTTTTCCATTTTCTGTTCAGATAGAGTGGGAGGGAGAGAGAGAGAAACATCGACGTGAAGGAACACATTGAGTGGCTGACACCCGCACTACTAACCAGGGCCGGGGACAAACTGCAACCGAGGTACGTGCCCCCAGCAGGAACCGAACCCAGGTCTCTCTGGACCACAGGCCAATACTCTAACTGCTGAGCCAAACCGGCCAGGGCAGGACATAACTGTTTTAAAAATTAAGATCTGTCTATTGACATGAATCTGCTGCCACTGGTCCGTTAAGACCGCCCTCAAATTTTATACCCTCCAAAAATATTCTCTGACCAGGTTCCCACACTCCTCCATAACCTTCAACTGTTTTCTTCTATGGAACCCTATACAATTATATATCATAGCACTTTCTATATCCTATTGTGATTGTCTGATTATTCAACTATCTCTCACTAGATTAAAGGTAAGTAGAGGTTGTCTTTTACCTCTATACTCCAGAACTTAGCATATACATTTGATGAATCAGTGAATAAACTGTGAACTAAACATACCTCTCCCATCTGTTGTTCAATAATTTGATGTGCAATTTCTTCTATGGTTGCCATGATCTAATTGCCAAAATGTCCTGCCAAAAATAAAAAGATGCCTTTTAATAATTATACCCATTAAAACATTTATTGAAGAATTTAAAAATGAAATTGTATGCTAGTTAGGATTTTCTTCAAAGCAATCCAGTTAGGTGGGTGGGGGTTGGGGGGAAATAAATAAAATAGAACTGACCATGCACTCACAGTTACTGAAGGCTGGTGAAGTTTACACAGTTCATACAATTATTTTTTCTGCTTTTACATATTTTGAAAATGTCTACTTAAAAACACTATTCAAACAAACAATTTCACTTTACAAAGATACTGAAGCCTAAACAGGAGGACTCTAATACAGATCAGGAGTAGTTTATTAATTTAAACAAAGGCAATCCTATCTGTAAACAAACACTTCTCTGTAGCCATTTAATACACTTTTATCAAATATTGCAAAAACTGGCCCTGGCCAGTTTAGCTCAGCAGTTAGAGCGTCGGCCCGCAGACCAGAGTCTTGGGTTCAATTCCAATCAAGGGCACATACTTTGGTTGCAGTTCATCCCCGGCCCTGGATGGGGTTGTGTGGGAGGCAACCAATCGATGTGTCCCCCTCACATCAATGTTTTTCTCTCTCTCTCTCCCTCCCTCCCACTCTACCTAGAAATAGACAGATAGATAAATAAATAGAAAAATATCCTCGGGTGAGGATTAAGAAACAATTATTATAAAAACTGACAAAATAATTGCATTCATTCAGAAGGATGAAAGATTTCTCTAGAATCATTTCACTAATGATTGTTCTTCATTAGTGATAACTTTATATATTAAGGTTAATTTAAATTTAATATAAAGCTGCTTCAAATGAATTTGAGAGCCTGTAAGATTAATGAGTTGAATTTAACTTTTGATTTTTCTCTTTATGAGTAAGTCAATATAACATTTATTTCTGGATTTATATTATAAATTGGTTGTCATAAATTCATTAATATTCTATAATTATAATTAATATTAATTGCCAAAGTATCTGAATTGTTCCTTTGATTACTTTTATTGAAATTTAAATGCTTCAATCAGTTGTGCTCAAAGCAATATTTAATATTTAGCTTGCTTATTCAATTATCACTAGACAAAAAGCAGTGGCTTCAACCTCTCTAGAACCAACCAAGGAGACAGTGCTGCTCCCCTGGCCTTGTGTCTGGGCCCATGGTAGCAATGGCAGCCCTGCGAACTTCTGACCCATCTTTGAAGTAATTCTTCCCTTTTCTTGAAGAATAATACATGCTCGAAACTGAATAGCTCTATTGCCCATCCAGCAGAATCCCAGAAGTCCAAAAGCCTTCCTTCATTTCATCTCATCTGTGTCCTCTTCAGTCCAAGGATGGCAGAAAATTTCAAAAATATTTTTGCGCCCTGGCCAGTTTTGCTCAGTGGTTAGAGTGTTGGCCCGCGGACCGGAGAGTCCCGGGTTTGGTTCCCACTAAGGGCACATACCTCAGTTGCAGTTTGTCCCTGACACCGGTGGGGGTCGTGTAGGTGGCGGCCAGTCAATGGGTTCTATATTTCTTAACAATAATTTCTGTATCTCCTCTCACATTTTACTATAAGCATCAGAGTGAAATCAGGCTATAACTTCAACACTTTGCTTAGAAATCTCCTCCAATAAAGATCTGAGTTTATTACTTACAAGTTCCACTTTATACATAACACTAGACCACAACACAGCCAAGATTTTTTGCCACTTTATAAGGTTCCCCTTCCTCCAGTAACATATTCATTTTCATCTGAGACCTCCTCAGAAGCACCTTTAATGTTTATATGTCTACCACACTGTTTATAATGATATGTGTACAGCTCTCTAAGGTGACAGCAGCTCTCTGTACAGCTCTCTTCTTTTCTTTATGAACACTCACTAGAATGGCCTTTTGCCATCTATATTTCTACCAACAATATCTTTAAGGCAATCCAGGTTTTTTCTAGCATGCATCTCAAAATTTTTCATCCTCTACCCATTTTCCAGGTCCAAATTTTTAGGTATTTGATATAACAGCACCCGACTTCCCAGTACCAAAAGTTGTATTGGTTTACTAGGGCTGACATAGAAAGCAGCACAAACTACTTTCAAAATTCAAAAATGAATTTTCTCACAACTCTGGAGGCTCTAGGTCTGAGTCTGAGTTGGCAGGACTGGTTTCTTCTGAGACCTATCTCCTTGGCTTGTAGATGGCCATCGTCTTTCTGTATTTTCAAACGTCCACCTTCTGTTTGTATCTGTGTTATCTCTTCTTATATTGGATTAAAGCCCACCCTAATGACCTCATTGTAGATCAATTACCACTTTAAAGGCTTTATATGTAAATAGTCACATTTTGAGGTACTGTGGTCAGAACTTCAATATATAAATGGGGGGGTATTTATTACTTATTAGTAATAAGTCTAGTAAGAAATGTGCAAGATCTATGTATAGAAAGCTTTAAAATGTTACCTAGGGAGAGGGAAAACTACCTGGAAGAACACATAAGAAAATGGTTAGAGTGACTACCTTCAGGAAGAACTGAAAACCTGGGAACAGAGATGGGATAAAAAATTATTTTTCACTGAATAAATGTTAATTTCTTTAAGAGTTTAATTACTGTGTGATGCACATAGGTGTATATGTATGCACATCTAGGTTCATGCTTAACTATGTACTTTGTTATTAGCAATGCTACAGGTAACACAATGCTAATGGATTTTAATATTGTTGGAAGAGTATTCCTGAGTACTGAATTCAAGGATATTTAGATTTTATTTTTCTGTTTAGGAAGAAAAGAACAGAAAACTGCAATAGATTAATCACCTTTTTTGGACTTATAAACGTTTTTAAGAATCTGACTAAAGCTACATACCTTCCTCAAAAAATATAAACATACATATATTTGATGGATTCCATTTTGCAATCCAAGACAGCAATTTCTGACTTCTCTCTATATAAACCCTCTGCACTACTGCAGCTGTCTAGAGCCCTTATGTCATATTGTTTTATAGATCCATAGAATCCCAACTATTTAGCAACAGAATGCTAAAAAAAAAAAGGTAGTATTTTGGACTATTTACTTTAGTGATCAAATATCTCAATTTGTGTGGAGCAAAATCAGAAGAGGAATCTAGGAAACATAATGAACCAGAAAGGTAGACTAAGACCAACATTTTGGACTTTGGACCACTTTCTAGCCAAACATAGCTTCCATTGTGACCTTAAACTGTTTATTATATCCTACTTGTAAAGCCTCTTAGCTGTCTGCCAAGCCAGCTCCTTAACTTATTTAAGTCATTTTTTATTTTTCAATTACAGTTGACATACCATATTGTATTAGTTTCAGGTATATACTCTGGGGATTAGACATTATAAAACTTCCTAAGTGTTAATCCTGATAAATCTTGTACCCATCTGACACCATACATAAGGTATTGGAATATCATTGACTATATCCCCTATGCTGTACTTCACATCCCCATGACTATTTTCTTACTACTAATCTGTACTACTATTTTTTTTTTATCCTCACCTGAGGACATTTTTCCATTTTTTGTTCAGATAGAGTGGGAGGGAGAGGGAGAAGGAGAAAGAGAGAGAGAGAGAGAGAGAGAGAGAGAGAGAGAGAGAGAGAGAGAAACATCGACGTGAAAGGGACACATTGAGTGTCTGCCACCCGCACAATCAACCAGGGCCGGGGACAAACTGCAACTGAGGTATACGTCCTTAGTGGGAACCGAACCCGGGTCTCTCTGGACCGCAGGCCGATGCTCTAACCACTGAGCCAAACTGGCCCAGGCTAATCTGTACTTCTTAATCCCTTCATTTTTTTTTACCCAACTTCTCTACCTCCCTCCCATCTGGCAAACATCAAAATATTCTCTTTATTGATGGGACTGTTTCTGTTCTGCTTGTTCATTTATTTTGTTTTTAGATTCAACTGCTGATAGATATGAATTTACTGCCACTTTATTGTTCATATTTTTTTATCTTTTCTTTTCTTCTTTTTTTTTATCCTCATCCGAGGACATTTTTCCATTTTTTGTTCAGACAGAGTGGGAGAGAGAGGAAGAGAGAGAGAGAAACATCGATGTGAAAGAGACACATCGAGTGGTTGCCACTCACACGACACAACCAGGGCCAGGGACAAACTGCAACCGAGGTACATGCCCTTAGCGGGAACCGAACCCGGGTCTTTCTGGACCGCAGGCCGACGCTCTAACCACTGAGCCAAACTGGCCAGGGCTCTTTTCTTCTTCTTAAAGACTCTTTACTGTTTTGGTGGTGATAAACTTCTTTAGCTTTTTCTTGTCTGGGAAGTTCTTTATATGTCCTTCAATTCCAAATGATGGTTTTGCTGGGTGGTGTACTCTTGGTTGTAGGCCCTTGCTTTTTATCATTTTGAATATTTCTTGCCAATCCCTTCTGGCCTGCAAATTTTCTGTTGGGAAATCAGCTGACAGCCTATAGGAGCTCCCTTGTAGGTAACTGATTTTTCTTGCTGCTTTCTTTGTCTTTAACCTTTTGCATTTTAATTATGATGTGTGTTAGTGTGGGCCTCTTTGTGTCCATCTTGTTTGAGACACAATGCTTTCTGGAATTGTATGTATATTTCCTTCACCAATATTGAAAAGTTTTCTGTTGGTATTTTTTCAAATCAGTTTTCAATTTCTTGCTCTCTTTTCTCTTTCTGGCACTCCCATGATGCAAATGTTGGTACACTGGAAAGTTGTCCCAATGGCTCCTTACACTATTCTCATTTTTTTATTCTTTTTTTTTTTTTTTATCCTCACCCGAGGACATTTTTCCATTTTTTGTTTTTAGGTTGAGTGGGGGGGGGGGAGAGAGGAACAGAGAGAGAGAGAGAAACATTGATGTGAAAGGGACACATCGAGTGGCTGCCACCCGCACAACCGACCAGGGCCGGGGACAAACTGCAACCGAGGTACGCGCCCTTAGCGGGAACCGAACCCGGGTCTCTCAGGACCGCAGGCCGACGCTCTAACCGCTGAGCCAAACCGGCCAGGGCTC